GGTTTCCTGTCAAAATGGAACGTCTGGCGGGTCTTCTGGCGACAATCCCTGCACATCTGAGGCGGCGAGGTACGGTTTGTGAAGATATTCGTCGAAGGCCAGGGATGCTTCTTGCAGTCACTGTTGCTAGCTGGAATCGATTTCGTATGTGTGTTGTTCGAATCCAGTTGTCTTGTCGATTATTGGTTACGCGTGGCCTGCCACTCCGACGATGGTCTCTGACTGCATTCGTCTGTTGCCAACGTGGCCATACACACCAAATGCTGTTTCTGTGGACGTTAAATTGTCTTGCAACATCTCGCTGACTCGATCCTGCTTCAAGCTTACCAATGGCTCGCAGACGCTCATTTTCGGACAGGCGTGGCATTTCGTAATGTTGAATAATTGCGTAATTTTGTTGTTTTTCTGAGTGGTTGTTGTCAGCACGATGCTAAACAATGCATATGGAATCCCGTTAACGCACATGTTTTTATACCCATTCTTGGGTAGTGAAATGCATAGGGCTTGCATAAAAGTCAACTTTTGCATGGAATGCATGCTTTTCTGTAGCAGTTGATTTTTTTACTTGATTCCATACATGTACTACAATATTGAAAACCAAACTTGTTTTAAAATACACTAAAATATTGGAGTCACAAGAACTTTTGATGTTGAGTATATATCACCTCCCGACATTCGAATTGCCGATCCGTCTGACCACGCCCTTTTACAACGCGAAGGGTCAGGGAAGTTTATCAAGTGGGAGGCGTTCACCCAAGCTACGTCAGAAATACTATGATTGTCGTACACGTTTTCTGCAGGTGTTACACGTGCGTCAAGCTAATACATGGTACGCAGCTCTTCATAATTTCATGGGGTACTAAACCACTATTTTATTAATCGCTTGCTCGTTGTAAATACACGCTGACCGGGATAATAGGAAATATAGAGCCCTGAAAAGGATATATACGTTTACCTGCATGATTTCTTCTCGTCACAGGGTTGTCTAATTGCTTTGAATAATGAACATTGTTATTGGTCACCTGCTGTAATACTGCCGTCTCGACGCGTGCAATCTTCGAGGCCGGATAGTAAAAGCGCTGTTTACGAACCTTCTGTCCGCTGTTACTCATTAAGTTTGTAGAATTCACCGGACTTTTTCTCAGTTTTGAAGCCACTGGGTAATATGTGCAGCCCTCAAGGTAATATCTGGAGGTCGAGTTTTAAAATCGGGAGAGCAAACAATACTTTCTGGTGGTCATCGGGTATATCTGAAGGCCATATGGTAACATCTAGAGGCCATTGGCAATATCTATATGCAAACAGTAACATCTAGAGGCAATGGAGTACTATCCTGAGGCCAAAAGAAAATGTCTGGGCGGCTACACGGAAATATTTAGAGCGCACGAGGCAATATCTGGAGGTGAAGGGGAAATATATAGAGGCCACATGGGGGTAATATCTGGAGTCGAAGAGGTAATATCTGGAGGTCATGAGGTAATATCTGGAGGTCATGAGGTAATATCTGGATGACACGAACCAATATCTAGAAGCCCCGATGTAATATCTGGAGGCCACGGCGAGGGCACAAAATAGTATGCTCCTTTCTGTTGCTGCTCAGCACGTATCCATTTGAAGCGGTTTGTCAAGAAGATTTCATTCTTTCAAGTGTGTCTCCAAACCCATGACTCATTTTCAAGATTTCTTTTTACTTGTTCTTGGAAGTCATTAAACTAGGTCTTCTTGAAAAGCAAAGCGAAAATAGCACAGGAGAGTCTATCACATGATTCAAATGATTGCATGTGCAAACTATTAACATATTTGTATGCAAACGTTTCTTGAAATACACATCCACTGTCAATGTACTGTATTGATAAACTTGGCATGTTTTCGTTATATATTCATATGTCGACGGGAAAGACGATTGTGGATTTCATTGGATTGCAAGTTGTAGTTGTCTTTTAGCTTGCAACTGGGTGATTGCAGCCCCTTGTGTGCTGGTTAGTATGGAAGAGCGTACCCCACATCCCCTAGTATATACTAAAACGTTATGTGAAACGGTACAAAAATAGAATACAATCCCCGAGTGTTCTGTTGCTGGAGCAGGTGCGCTCTGTATCAGCGTCAACTGCGCAGTGATCTATACAAGGTACAAGGTACAAGGTACAAGTCAGCAAATGCACTGTCGTAACAACACTGGATTTCCAAGTCCATTGATCGCGTGATCACCTTTTTTCCAAACACTGTTGTCACTGATTTTCAGTGGTCCATTTATGTAATTTTCAGAGCTGTTTTGCCTTTTAGCCAAATGGAATCTGTTTCGGTGGATAATCAAGACAGGTTATTCTCTTGCAGTGACGTGTCTGTGTTTTTACGACTGACAATCACCTATGGCAATGTCGAACCAAACTTGTAAACGTTTTGTCAAAACTTTTGCCCAATAGAATCTGTTTCGGCAGATATTCGAGACTGATTATTCTAAAGTGATGACGTTTTGAAATTACCCCGAAATTGGATTTAACATGAACTATAGGCAATACCCAAGACCAGGGTGCTCCTTGTCTTACTCAATAGATGTATGGAATATACTTATACACGTAAATACTGTCTATTTTTCATCCTGCAAGAATGTATACTTACTACCTTTATTATACTTTAATCTACGAAAATCACACCTGAATTGTATTAGTATATTGCAATCATTCTTTTCATTCAAGAGATCCATTTCTTTCTGTATTATTTCAACATGATATTCTTAGGCTATCCTAAACTCTGCTATGGAAGGAAACACCATCAGCTCTATAGGACTCATGAGACATTTGTAAAAGGTTTACCAAATACTGTAAACTGCATCACTTTTTCAAAGCATTGGTATCAAGTCCTGACGCTGTAATTTTGAAAGAACCTTTTATCGAAAAAAAATTATTTTATCTATAATTTCTACGGATTTCTTGGATATCTGAAGAAAAGTAGTTCGTGAATAAAAAATGACAGTATTATAACGCCTTCCGTTTGATGCGTCACGTTATGCATGTTGAACTTACTATGATGTCTGAAGTATAAGACTTATACCTGCTCAATATGATTTAGTTGCATACACTGGCTAGTGAACCGTAACCATCTCAAATACTTACAGCTGAGTGAACGGTAACATCTTTCCGCCATGTTATAGTACGTACCAAACGATGTCCATCACTGTTAAGTGTTAATAATATGTTCTTTCAAAATTAACATCTACTATACACATTGGAATGAAATGAAGCATTTAGTGTTGTATGCTAACAAGCTAACTATGTAGTAATATTATTAATGTATTTATTCATAGATATTTTCTAGATCACAGATATGGGGCAGATTATCCATCCATATGACATGTAGAACGTTTATGCAATAATCCAAAAATGTGAATGTGTTTAAATATTTGTATCCCTCTAAATTTCTGCTACCTTGAATAACATCACTGTGCGAGGTAGCGGCTTTCTATTTACGGCAAACGTGGTGTCTATCTCTCATCTTAAATAGTATTTAGAAATATTCCTACAAAACGTTTCCAGGAAATGGTCATGGCATGACTCTTCGTTTTGTCGTTTGTCGTGGTATGAAATCGCTGACATGAACAACTCGGAAGTGCAATTTCTAGATAAACAAAACATGAATACACAAGTCAAGGCAAAGATGTTGATTATTACCCCCGCCCCAACGAAGTTTGCGGGGGATATTGAAATGGGTTCCGTCCGTCCGTGCGCCCGTGTGTGCGTGCGTCCCGAAATCGTTTCCGGAGCATAACTCAGAAACCGTTAAATATTTCTCTACGAAACTTTGCATGTCTATCACACTCATGCTGAACTGGTACCTTTTGCTATTTAGAAAATTTTATTAATGTTTATTTTTTTAGGTTTCCATGGCAACAAGTTGGACTTAGGTTCTATATGGTAGAGTTCGTTTCCGGAGCATAGCTCAAAACCCAATCAATACTTTCTAACAAAACTTTACATGTTCACCAGACACATACTGAACTGGTGCCTTTTGCTATTTAGGAATTTTAGAATTTTTTATTTTTTACGTTTCCATGGCAACAAGTTGGACTTAGGTTCTATAAGGGTGGTGTTCGTTTCCGGAGCGTAACTCAAAAACCGTTTACCTAAATACTTTCTTACAAAACTTTGCACGTCTACCAGGCACATACTGAATTTGTGCCTTTTGATATTTAGCACTTTTAGAAACTTTTATTGTTTATGTTTCCATGACAACAAGTTGGGTTTAAGTTTTAATATAGGTTGGGTTCACTTATGGAGTAAAACAAATAAACTGTTAAACATTTCCTTGCCAAACATTGCATGTCTATATATAAAGCACATACTGATCTGGTGCCATTTGATATTAAGGAGTTTTAGAAATGTTTATTTTAGAATTTCCATTGCAGCTATTTTGACATGGGCTAAGAGAAATGTTGGGCCAGTTACCTGGTTTTGGACCATAAGGTGTTAAAATGGGCAGGGGATATAGATGACTTCGACTATACGTTTGTTTCCTTAGAGGCTTGGATTGATGGTAGCCAATTGTGTGTATGCTGTTCTTGTAACAAAGGCATCAAAAGATATATTTCAAATATTAGAAGATGTAAGAATATAATTTGTACCAAAATGAGATGATATCCATGCTTCACATATGGTTAATGTGTTGATGTCTTTCATATTTTTATATCAATGTTTTGTTGCATCTTTTGAGTGAGTGAGTGAGTTTAGTTTTACGCCGCTTTTAGCAATATTCCAGCAATATCACGGCGGGGTACACCAGAAATGGGCTTCACACATTGTACCCATGTAGGGAATCGAACCCGGGTCTTCGGCGTGACAAGCGAACGCTTTAACCACTAGGCTACCCGACCGCCCCTGCATCTTTTGAAGATATATTATGCAGATTGCTGCAACATGATGAGGGCAAGGTGGCCATGTTCTGTCTCAAAATCCACTTCCCAGACCATTCAGGGGAATAACTAACAGCAAAACAGAGAAGTGTCAATATGTCAATTCAATTTATTGTTAATAACTTCAATAATGTACATGTACTTGGTACAGTCAACAGGTGAAAATGTAAATAAATAAAGCTTTATCTTACAGTCACTGCTACAATCTAGTGAAAACATGTGGGCCCTGTTCCACAACCCAAATCAGCCACATGACTATCACAATCAATATTAAGAAAAGGAGTTCATATTAAAATATACAAGTTTCAACAGTTGCATGGATACAACTACCACAGGTCTATATTAAAGCATAGGTGTTATGATAGTCGTGGGGCTGCTCACATCGAGGGTCTTGGCCTATATCTGGACACTATGTCCATCGGTTGTCCAGTCTACACACTTCAAGTCATGCTAGATCTGACATTTCATTAACTTAGTCATGTCACAACATGCAGGCAATGGCGTTGCTTATGTGCTATAGAAGATCACACACTAACACTAAACTACTGACATGTTTGTCAAAGCATATTAGAACCTGCTAATACAGAAACAACAATTTCACATGTTATTAGAGTTAGGATAATGGAGAAATGGCAGTCTTTTTCTGCAAAATAATAACCCTGAATTCCTGTTTGATTAGTTTATGCTAAACATTTAATGTTAGACACTTTCTGAGCCACTATAGGGGTCCTTCCTACCTGAGTGAGTGAGTATGGTTTTTTAAGCCGCTTTTAGCAATATTCCAGCAATATCACGGCGGGGGACATCAGAAATGGCCTTCACACATTGTTCCCATGTCGGGAATCGAACCTGGGTCTTCGGCGTGACGAGTGAATGCTTTAACCACAAGGCTACCCGACCGCCCCTAGGGTCCTTCCTGAAGTCCTAGGACTATTCAAAGTTTGTGTAAAAATGATAATTACAAAAGTCACAGCACTATGGTAACATGGAGAAATAGGCATAGTTACACTACTGTTCAAAGCAATGTTCCCTCGATTGGGGTGTCACTTGTTTTGACTAAAGAGGACATACAAACGTTCCCATTAGCAGCTCATTGTCATGATTGTTCCAAAATGTCAAATGTGTGTTTATTTGATCAATTTCAAAATACCACTTTAAGTTTTGTTGTTAGGAGTGTGAGTGTGTTTGTTTGGTATTACGCCGCTTTTAGCAATATTCCAGCAATATCACGGCGGGGGACACCAGAAATGGGCTTCACACATTGTACCCATGTCGGGGATCGAACCCGGGTCTTCGGCGTGACGAGCAAACGCTTTAACCACTAGGCTACCCGACTGCCCCTTGTTATTAGGAACCAATTAGTCCTGCTGCTCAGCACAAATGAGATATCATGAGACATGCTAAAGCCACATCAAACTGACAACAGAATATAAGCTTATCGGAACATGGCATTAAGTAAATTAAATATTGTCATGTGAGACATTCCTTTTTACTGAATGTATCTTAAGAGAAAATGTCATCCTAAATAGAATATAATAAACTTCGTGCAACAGTTCAAACTTAATGATGAGTCAAAAAAGATCAATACTGATATGACCTAACTAAACAATGTACATGCAAATCCTGTTTTTGTAATAAAAATGGCAAAACCATATGACCAAACAATCATTACTGGTAGAACTATGACAGATACTACCACTACTACTACTTCCTAAGCTTAGCATACAGCAGACTACTGTTGGCACAAACAACCTGATCCTATTACCGTATTCGGCGTAATAAGCGCCCACGGCAATACTTGCCCATATATTGGCTAGTGGACAATCCCAGTTAGCACCCCTTCTGATTGATCAATGTCCACCAGACTTATTTATTCGTGTATAATACATGTGTTATATACATTCTTTATTATGGAAAATTAAATTCTGGAAAAATATATCTGTCGTATGTAGACATTTCAAGCTGTTAGCGAAATCTACGATCTTTCAACTGTTGTTTTTCACCAAAATAATATACTAAAAAGAGCCCCCTATTTCTAATTTTGAGAGCGCCCTGGGCGCTTATTATGTCAAATACGGTATCCAAACTTTGCCATGTTGATCAGCAAAGAGGAATAATAATCAGGGACAACGTCACATCCATTAATTATTTACATAAACTCCATACACATCCAGCACATATATGTTATATATATGTGTGTCATAGCAGCAATTCATCCATTAAACATTCAGATCATACACTCAGTTGACAAAAACAAACCTTGATTTCAATTAACTGATTATCATCCTCTCAAATTTTTTATCACAACAGACCAGTTGACATTCCTTCTTAAGATTATCTTAGCCAATATTCCAAAATGAAGCACACCTATTGTGGTTTTCTGAAATTAGATTCCTAAAACAAACTCAGAGGAGTAGCGGGTACGTGCTACCATTACCTCAATACACCTGTTCTATATGTGGTCAGACAAGCATCTGTGTGGTATTGTGAGTTTGACTGGTACACGGATGGAAGCAAGGGATGTATAAAGCTACTAAGACCAAGACAAAACTCTAGCACCGCCATCATGCCGTCACCAGGTTTGACTTTGAGAAGCGGACCCACTGCAACCATGGTGTATGAATACTGTATCTGAAAATACTTCCTCAGTGACCTTGCAGATCTTAGTCATAATAACTAAATCGAAGTACAATGATATATTTCCTGTGAGCGTTGTTAATGAGAAGAGAGAAAAATGAAAGAAGATAAGCAAGACATATAAAAATAGTGACTATGACATTGGAATATTATCATTAAAATACAAAATGAAGGTTCTATCTCTCAGTACAAACTTAAATTTTCAGTTTAAGTGAATATCGCGTAATATTATTGGCACTAAATTACAGATACAAGTCATCACCAAAGGTAATCACATTAATCAAACATGAACAGCTTCATTTCTGACATACCGGGAATATCTGCAATTGTTTACAAAAAGTATAATACTTTTTATCAACACATCATAGGTGATAAATACAACATAAATATCTGGCCACTGCACGACCAGACTTCCCAGGATATTCAAGGATAAACTGACAATTAACAAACCTTCATTATTTATTCATATTACAGAAAAAACTAAATATATGCTGAAAGTACCAAACAACCTAATCATTATAATTGTTTGCACTTTAACACTGTTCTCAGCAATATTACAGCTATACGTATATAAATAATCCAGTCTTGCCCACACAACCTAGTGGTTGACATTTTGGGCAATGTCTGGGTATGACCGCATGCAATCATTCAAGTCACCAAGCTTTATCAACTATTTTAGTTGAATCTTATGGCAAACATGGACTATTGGGAACCAATTCTAACCTTGAATCTCTGTGGGGCTATATCATCAGTGTACCATGAATTTACACTTGATTCTGATTGGTCAAATCACAATAAACAGCTGATTTGATGGCCACATCACCTCGGAAGCTAATACTTTTAGAATAGGACTGTCTTTACAGTCACTGTCAGTAGACATATTTAAATACTTTTATGTACCATTATAGGCTACAAAATGCAAAGTAGAGGTTACTACAATATTAAAAGGATGTGTGGCAATACATATTGTGCAGAAAACAAGATAGAAATCTACAAAGAAAATGTATTTCAAGTTTTGAGGACAACAGAGTTTGCTATTTGGCTATTTTCCATATACCATATCTTTTGCTTCACAATGAGCAATATGACGTCATAATAGTGATGTGCGGCGTAGAACGAAACCTTTGCAAGGCTTGCTTGGTTTTCTTTAGCAGTGCCCACCTCATGCTGCTTACCAAATTGCCGTGCTACAAGCTCTCAGTACCTGCCATAAGTTCGAGTGAAGTATTACAGCGTTAACAAACTGCTTGAGCATTTGGAGCGCCATATTTTGTTTAAAGGCTGTTGTCACTTACTCAAAACACTGGACTCAACCCATGCTGCCTAACTCAAAATATTTGCTAACACCAAAGAGTTAGCGTTTCATTTAGTCGTTGTAGAATGGATATAAACATACTGCGCTGAATTAACATTTGGAATGAGAAATTTGAGATTCAATTTAGGGGGTACAATCTACAGGTAACCTAGCTGTACTTTGAAAACACAAAATGTTTATTTCCTAAATATACTTAGGGCTATCCTGTAAGAGATCCCTTTGAAAGGAAACTCATGACAGCTGCAGTAAAACTAGGACAAAAACAGTGCTGTGTGCGGTGGCAAGTTGAGCAAGTTAAATCGTGCAGTTCACTATAATAGTAGTGGACAAACATTCATCAGTGGACAAACATCTTGCTTACATGTTTAACATTCACGACAAATATGCTACAAAAACTTCTGAACATACATGGACGGAAAAAGTGTTTCACTGGACCCTGAAGATTCATGAGGAACATTTACAAATAGTCACACATCACATTCACGGCTGAAAGATCACATAGCAGACATTAGATGTCTGGCCATGGCATGTGTCGCTGTTAGCATATATATGGCTAGAGTTTGAAGTGCATACACCGTACAGTATGGCTAGTGTCTGATGTACATACACCGTACAGTATGGCTAGTGTCTGATGTACATACATTGTACAGTATGGCTGGTGTTTGATGTAGATATACTGTACAGTATGGCTAGTGTTTGATGTACATACACTGTACAGTATGGCTAGTGTTTGATGTGCATACAATGTACAGTAGGGCTGGTGTTTGATGTAGATATACTGTACAGTATGGCTAGTGTTTGATGTACATACACTGTACAGTATGGCTAGTGTCTGATGTACATACATTGTACAGTATGGCTGGTGTTTGATGTAGATATACTGTACAGTATGGCTAGTGTTTGATGTACATACACTGTACAGTATGGCTAGTGTCTGATGTACATACACCGTACAGTATGGCTAGTGTCTGATGTACATACATTGTACAGTATGGCTGGTGTTTGATGTAGATATACTGTACAGTATGGCTTGTGTTTGATGTACATACATTGTATAGTAGGGCTAGTGTTTGATGTACATAGTACTACATACACTGTACAGTATGGCTAGTGTTTGATGTGCATACACTGTACAGTATGGCTAGTGTCTGATGTACATACATTGTACAGTATGGCTGGTGTTTGATGTAGATATACTGTACAGTATGGCTAGTGTTTGATGTACATACATTGTATAGTAGGGCTAGTGTTTGATGTACATACACCGTACAGTATGGCTGGTGTTTGATGTACATACTCTGTACAGTATGGCTGGTGTTTGATGTACATACTCTGTACAGTATGGCTAGTGTTTGATGTAAATACACTGTACAGTATGACTGGTGTTTGAAAGGCATACACTGCATCTGAACTGACTAGAAAGAAAAAGATTAAACTGGGATTATCACTGAAATGATCAGATGCACTTATGGTAGCCTCAATGTGGAACAGTCTTTGTGCAGACAAAATCCAAAGACTATAGAGATATTCTGGGTGTGATGAGCTTCAACGGTTCATGTTTCTTACCTGGTAGGTACTTTACAAAATAATACACAACTTCATGGACAAAACAGACCAACATATTCCTATCACAGCATTTACCTTGATCACAAATACCCAACATTCAAATCATACAATGCCCAATATACTGTGAGGTCATATCTTCACTACTACCGTTCTGATTAATCACGCTGGGCCATGGTCAATGTGCCAAACATACTAAAACTTGAACACATTTATATCTGGAGGCATACCATGAGGAACAATTCAAATATGGCATTCATTTTCATCTCTGGGAAACATCAGGAGTTAGTGGCATTAACAGCCTACAAGTTATCAAAGTGCTTGTCACATTGTTCAGTTTGACCCATTCTTCGCAGCCACCATTGATCATTCCTCAATTATCCCCGACAACATAATGTAATAAACCTGAACATCACCATGATTCCTACCAGAACAAACTCATCCCAGCACAGATTTACTCTGGACACTTGCCTTCATCTTTTAAAAACCCTCATGAGGTGACCTATTTGGGTGATGTGTAGCTATTTACTGCTACCTTATATCTGTTACTGAAGGTGTAATTACTGTGCCCCTAGCCAAGCTTCCAGAAGTAATGAAAGGTGGGTGGTAGCCCAGCAAGCAGCAGTCACATCCCCTCTCCCTCTATGTCCCTGCCAGTGTTCGTGGTGTGTGAAGCAGTTTGCCTGAGAATATATGATGCATAAAATATTCATTGTGTTCTAAGTCCAGCCAATCTCAAGACGCCTTCTTGCTGTCCTCCTTGTCTGTGTCTAGTCCGCTGTCCGACTTGTCATCCTTGTCCTCTTTACTCTTGCCACTCTCCAGTTCGAAGTACTGAAACAGGAGAAGACTTCATTGAAGGAGACAACTAAAGAGTGTGCATGTGCTTCAATAACATTATACTACTCAAAACAAGTAAAAGAGCACCCAGAGTTGGAAGGCTGTGTGTTGCAATACCCAAAAGCCATGACAGATTAACTATAGTGAGTATGGTATTATGCCGCTTTAGCAATATTCCAGCAATATCACGGCGGGGGACACCAGAAATAGGCTTCACACATTGTACCCATGTCGGGAATCGAACCCGGGTCTTCGGCGTGACGAGCGAACGCTTTAACCACTAGGCTACCCGACCGCCCCAGATTAACTATAGTCATATGAAACAATCAGGTGTTGTTTGACTTCTTTTGAGTAGTATATCTCAGTGAGATCAAGTTGTGTAAACGTAACTTGAAGACCAAAGTGGCCCTAGATATCTACCACTTTGGTGTCATGCTGACAAACTAAGGATCCAACTTCATGGCCAGCAGATGATAGCAGCTGAACGCAGTACCTTAGACCATTGAGCGGGGAATCTGATCAAGGATTTGAAAAAGGATGAGGAACACAAACTATCAATGCCACAAAGTGAACACATGATAGGTTTCCAAGTGAGGTGTCTCAAGAAAGGGGGCATTGCACTGTGATCACTTCGTTCTCTGGAGGGCCATCTGTGCATCTCCTAAATAAAGAGTGGGCAACAGTATTACAGCAGCCGTGGTGTGACGGAGTCTGACCCAGACACAGCAGTGGGTGATGTGAGGAACTATTTGTTGACAATGACGTCATCATGGATTGGATCACTATTAATCATACTGTCACTCATCCCCTTTCAACTACGGAGAATAGAAAATACTGCACTGGGGAGCAATCATAACAGCTACTGTTGGTAAGAGTATATTCATTTGTTATTGAATCAGAATCATTTGTTATTCGGATCATAAGGCTAAAAAAAATAATAGGCTTGGTTCTCAGGCATCATCATAAAGTCTTTGACACATTTCGTTTATATTTCAATTTTAAAAAATAATATAAAAATCCTAAACAATGCGAACCAATATAGAACACAGTTACTTCCCTTTACACGCGCATTGCTTTACTGCACATCTCATATTTATGGTTATGGCAGCAATAGGAGTTTGTATGTTTGTTTATGTAGGGAGACCCTTTCCCAGATTGATGGTACACAACTGTTTATTTAGTTACATTCTAGCTTGAGCATGCAACAAAAAAACAAACACCGCCAGCCCATCCGCCCTATATTTTCAAAAGCCATTGCCTGAGAACCAATTCTTGTATTTTTTAAGCCTAAACAGATTGGCATTTAACGATACATCAGATAACTTTAGCAGCCACAAACCTCTAGTTCTCGCATCACTTCATCCATGAAATCTGTTGAGTTATTTTTATAGTCCACAGCAGCACGTACCGCATCCTTGAACAACTGAAACAGCATAGAAGAACAGTATAGTATAGAACTGACACACAATCAACATAACAAACAACATAACCATCGAATGCACAAGACAATGTGTGAGCACAGGATGACCTACCTTGACGACATTGGTTCCATCAGACGCCGACACAAAGTAGAAGGGCATGTTGTGTTTCTTGGCAAAGTTGAAACCTTTCTGCGTGACACTGTTGTCAACTGGAAGTAGACACAATGACACTCATGTCACATCACACATCAAACAGAGAAAACAAGGTCGAGAATGGAGTAGAGGCAGGATTTTGTCGACTTTCTCAACAGCTGAGAAAGATTTTTGACAATATTCTAGAGAATGTAACCATAGTAAGTTTATAACCCATGTTTTTACACTGATCTTTTATCTTTATCTGTAACAAATATCTAAATATTGATATGTACAGTGTAAGAAAATATGCGGTGTCCTGGGATCCTTGGGGTTTGCTGCTATAGTATTTGACTTTGAACCTGTAACATTAGGGCAATGACAAGCACCCCTTGATCATAATGATAGTGTATCCTGGTGAGGTTAGGTGAAATATGCTGTATCCAAGATTATTGCACTCATAGAGCGTCTGCTTGTACTAGTCCAGACTGATGCCGATTTTATAGTGTTTGCCACAGTTTGACAGAAACACCCCACTCTGACACAGTATACTGACTTCGAGCCAACCAGTCCTTGTCTTAGCCCCTGAATGCTGAGTGCCAGGCAGGGTAATAACAAGTACCATCTTTTAACATCTTTTGGTATAACGCGGTCGAGGATTGAACCCATGACCTTCCGCTCTCCGGGCAGACGTTCTACCACAAAACCACGGAGGCAGCAGAGTGTATCCTGGAATCCTTATGCTATCAGTTTGAATTTGAGATGGTACATAGCGAGTCAAGTAGTGGTGACATCACTGACTTGTTTCAGTCGTGAGAGAACAGGTGAATTTGATAGGATGGCTATTTTTAACATCAAGTCTTAAAACGAAGATTATAGTGTGAATGGCTCAAGAGTATTTATTCCAACAGAATGGAGATACTGTAAAATCAAGACTGCCAGTATTTCAGCTCACCATCAATCTTGTTGCCGACACACAGGCAGGGTATTTCAGGCCTGTATTCCCTCAGCTCCTTCAACCAGTTGGGGAGATTCTTGTACGTCACTTTCCTCGTGGTGTCAAACACCTGTGGACAACAAATGTGTGGAGCTAAAAATATTTGCAAATTTTAGGCAAAAGATATGATTTTGTCAGCAATAAGGTTGATGCCATTTACGACTGCATCAGTGCACTGTGATATTCTACTCAATAAAGGACACCCAGTGCTTTCATATTACTTTAGCTAATCTGTCGTAGCATGACAGATTTACTACAGTGAAGTGGTCAACGTCTGAGACCTGCATCACTTCGAGCTTTCCTCCCACATTAAGCTGACATGCTGTGATACAACTGGAATACTGTTAAAAGCGGCATTAAACACAACTCACTCACTCACTCACCTTCTTTTGAGTTGTATATTGAAATAAATAACACACTTCAATCTGTATCATTTTGGAAATTCATAATGTGGAAATTTTATAATAAAATGCATATTTATATACTATCTCACACTATGCATTTCTTCCTTCTTCAATTCGGTGTGGAAACGACCTAGAACAAAGTTTCCACCTTCAAAAGACAAACACATCCCACCACCTAAACAACGGGTCCGGCACCACAGCAATAACTCCTGTGTGATACGGCCCGATGCGACCTGAGCACCTGACATACCCTGCCTATCATTCTCTTTCTTTTGCTTCACTGGGACATAACTATCATGAAATCGGGTAAATCATGTTTTGTGTCTTCACACAGGACATTGTTCAAAGAAAGATTGACTGCATAGCTTTGAACTAGGGAAACCTACACAGCTACGACTTGTAACCAACTCCGTATATGAGAAAAGATGAATTACCCATGTACACTCAGAGCAGTAGACATGATCTGTGCTTGAAACATGAGCTTGAATATTAGACCGAGAGAATGCTGATGATAGATGAACGAGGGCTATAATTACGATCCTGATCCTGATTGTCATCCCATTACCTAACTAATAGCACCACACCTGTCATCAGAAGATGAGATCTACAAAATGTACCTCGATCTTGATCCGAACTATCATAGTAATACCGATCCTGGTGATCTGTACATTCAGGGATAGTATGTAGAACCCACTCCTGGCCATCATAGTGATGACGATCTGTGGAAGTGTCGCCTCATAGAAGAGGAGTGTTGAAGCTGGCTGTACGCTAGTACACTGAAGACATCTTTCCTTTGAGGTTGAGCTATCCCTAGATAAAGGGCGAAGTCGATCTGTAAGGGATCCTTTGCGTATTCGATCAGAAGAGTACCTTCAATCCGTCGATCCATGGTAAGGGCGATCCTGAAGAGTGGAGCAATGTCGTTTTCCAGTAGTGTGGTAACAATCCTCAAGAGGAGGGTACTGAGGATGATCTTGAGAGCCAGGACTCTCCCTATCGAGCATTGTGTCCAAAGTCCCAACAATCCAGTGTCATAAGGTGCGTGTGATTCCATATGACTAGGAGTAAATGAAGTCAATCCTTTGATGAATGGAGATCCTGTCAATCCAATGATGAGTGTCGATCAGTTGAAGTATGTCTACCCCAACAATCCCATTGATCTCAATATCTCAGCTGAACAATCGATGTTCGTTGATCAAACGATCCTAGGTGTATGTCTATCAGTGATCCTTAGCCATCGCATGAAGAGCTTCGCTGTATTTAAATATTGATGGAATGTAGGTACAGTCCCTGTTGTTGATCACTAGCACAATCTCTTTTGTGAATATGAAGATCTACTGAGAAACAACTCTGATAACGATTTCTTGGGGAAGAAGGTTTATCCTAGAAGTGGTATGCCAATCTAGTGATGGATTGTGTTGATTCCTAGCAGAAGCATAATGGTGTAGTGACGAAGTACACTTGGGCGATCTACTGTGTGAAGGTGGATCCTTTGATAAATCATGTCGACATCGATCCTGCAGGAGTATCGATGTTGACCTACATGTCGACCCTTAGGAGAAGGATATTGATGTCTATCCCCCAGTTGATGTCGCTGAGAAAAATCTCGAAAAGTGGCAACTGCTTGTCGTAAGAGGAGACTAACAAGATCGGGTGGTCAGGCTCACAGACTTGGTAGATGCTTGTCATCGTAACCCAAATGAGTAGATCGATGCTTATGATGTCAATCACTGGATTGTCAGGTCCAGACTCGATTATTTACAGATCCCTGTCATGTCATATAGCTTGAATATGGCGTTAAACAACAAATGAACACGCATGTGAACCGTTGCAGTCGTAGTTTTGCGGGGTTAAAAGGAAAACTGTTAGAGACTGTATTGTTCTCCACAGAAAAAAACGGGATGGTAGATGGCTTGGTCTGATTGACTGTTTAACTAGCCAATCGTACTGCCAGGTTTCTTAGCATCTAAGGGTCCATGCTCTGTATCTTTAGATAATGACTTTGATCACCGGTCTGTGCCGCACTTCTGACATATGCGAATATAGTAGTGAAATTCTTCCTCTGAGAGATGCGCACACAGGGAGTATCTGTAGGACAACTAGCACTGGTCACGACAGTCACAACAAAGAGAGCGAGAGTTTCTCTCTTTATTCTTTTTCACTTTTATACTGTTGTAAAAGTATGATTATACTTCTTGCACAATGGCGTTTCTCCATAGTGAGCTGTCCATTATGTTGCAGTTGTCAGAGGGATTGAAAACAAAAACAAAATGTAATTCTCTACAACTCAAACATGTCTTTCCACCATGGCTATGAGAAAGAGAATTAAAGGCAGGGTATGTCAGGTGGTCAGGTGATCACGTCGCATAGGATCGTACCGCACAGGATTGCAGTGGTGCATCACCCCTTGTTTAAGTGGTGACCATGGTGATGCATGGGTTATGTTTGAGTGAAGTGTTTTTGAAGCTGGAAACTTTGTTCCAGCAGGTTCCACACAAGGATCTAAGAAGTAGGAAGAGAGGCATAGTGTGAGATAGGATTAGTTTAAAAATATAGATTTTTTTCACATATGACATTTTAGAAACTGGTACTGAGCAAAGATCATATCATGAAAATGATAATAATAACTGATCACATATAACGTTGTCTCAAACAATAGACATGACATCAACATGATCAAAGCTATTTCGGAAAAGAATTAAGCTACCCACAAACTTCGACATTGCTAGGGATTGAAATAAACAACATAGCTATGTACAATGTTAAAGATAATATGCATGGTTTGGGCAGAGGGAAAGTTATGAACATCTTCTATGACCAAACCTACCATAACACAAGCATGGGCCTGGTGGTAGTACGAGGGATGCATGTTGTTGAACCTCTCTTGTCCTGCTGTGTCCCAGAAATCTGACAATAAAAAGATATAATATACAAATGTGTATTCTGCATTTTGAAAACATTTTAGTAGGCTAACTTTCAGTCAAATAACTATAGTGGTTATTGCCTGAATGTTATTTAATGCCTTACACAAAAACTCTTTCATTGTATTATCTGTTGCTATTTCCTTTCACATGCGCACTACTTTACTGCGCATCTTGTGTTATGGTAATGGCGGCAATAGGAGTTTGTATGCTTGTTCATGTTGGGAGGCCCTTTCCCATGTTGATGGTACACAACTGTTTATTTGGGTACATACTAGTTTCAGGAAGCAGAAAAAACCCAAAACCAAAAAAACAGCACCCATCCCTGCACTATATTTTCAAAAGTCATTGAATGACAACCAATTCCTTTATTTTTTAAGCCTAAGCATAGTGATTTACTTATGTGGGCCACCTGTTTTGGTCACTTTATACGATGGAAAGAATGAGTGAGTTGGGCTTAAAAGAGCTTTAGCAGTATGCTAGTTATATCACGTTGTGTCAACTTGATATGGAAGGAAAGCCTGAAGTGATGCAGGTCTCAGCTGACGTTTACCATTTTGGTGAAACCCACGAGCACTGGTATGGTGTGGGCAAACCTAGAAGCAAGATCGGGGCTAACTGGGATTTGAACCCACAATGTAGGATTCAGGGTAGGCCCAAGGGATGCAAAGTGAATTCTCGCGCCTTATACAACTGGGCCACCTGTTCACCCAAAAGGGGAAAGAAGCGGGATAACGTTTATAGAATGGTTATCAGTACGCCAAATAAGCTAACCTAATGAAGTCTGGTGATACACAATTGTGGGCCCACTTGTTTCAATCAGCATATACGACAGGAAAAAAGTGGGACCACCATTTTTCACAAATACAAACACAATGGAGACAGCTCCAAACTGGAATTTGAGTGACCTCCCTTTTCCAATACGAACCACTGAAACTGCAGTTTCACCCAAATTTCAAACTTTTTCTAATGGAGTATATAAATCATAACTTACCGACAGAAACTGTTTTTCCGTTCAGCTCAGTTTTATGGTTGAACAAAGTTAAAGCATATGTTGACAGCTGCTGTGGTTTGCTGGTCAATAGTCAAGGATCCATGAAGCATATAATCATATACATGTATTCTAAAGAAAAACTACACATGTGTCTTGTTTCTACAGTTATAGAACAGATTTCCAATATGTTTAAAATAAGGCCATGATGCTTAGTGAATATCACCGGGGAATGCATACTATATACATGATATAGATCTGAAAAAAATGGTTAAATCATAAAATAGACACCATAATAGTCATAATAGTGGTACAGGAGTAGACACTATGCATTAAATCTAACTAGTCCATAGCTCATTTTTTACCAGTTATTTAATGATTTATGTAATAACAATCTGTGACTTTGGTCACAAGTCCAAAACCTGACTCTGGTAAAATATCTTCTGGTTAAGTAAGATCGCATAATACTAGTCGTCATAAAACTACCCAAAAAAATGTACATTTTTGGGCTAGCAGACTCAAAAGTTTTTGGCACAACTGTAATAACTAATACCTAAATAGGTTATATTTTTTTTAGAAACAACTAGATGGCTCAGTCTAGTCGTCAATCGTGTGTCAATAGTTTTGGGCTTGCACGCAAGTGTCCATGTCTCATCCTTGAATACAAGACAGTCTAGGTGACACAGACACTTTCACAGCAATCATGCACAAAAAAGGATACTATCCATCCATCAGGAAACGCTCAACCAACCTAAAGGAAAAAACAAATTAAATTACATTCATGACAAAAGTGATGGAAAAAATGATCATTCAGATTGAGGATAACTATAACAGCTTGATTATTTTGATACTAATTTTACAGAATACTCCTTCCCTAAATGCTAAATAAAAAGAGTAAAGACTAAAGCATGAACCAGAGACAAGAAGAGCCAATTCAAGATTTAGCTTTGCTCTAGGCCTGTAAGTTGCAGTCTCATCGTAAATGTTAGCATGTCCAGGGTCCCATTTTACAAAGCTATCATCGCGTTATGAGTGTCAGTAGTCTATGTTATAGTATGGAAGACATGACAGTTGCAGTGTTACAATCCGTTTGTGAAACTGGCCCATATCAAGATTATTTTGCTGTTTTAAATTTTTTTCTCATCTGGTATATTATTTTAATCTTAGGAAGCTCTAGATCACAACTGTAATTGTTGCTCATTGATTGCATGCTATTCCTAACCCGAGGGTAGTCGCCCAAAAGACTGAACGATATAAAAAGTTGCCTAGCAACCTATGATGCTCCTAAGTTAAACATTAACATTTCGCAGATAGCTCAAACTAAATATTTACATCATATTACAAATAATTGACATAACATACATATTTCAAAAGATGGTTTATATTACCTAAGATAGTTATCAAAACTGTATTCGTGAATTCAAGAAACATATATCATGAACAAGTGCTCGAAAACAGGACAAATGGAATACAGGAGAACTGTCATTAGCGTTTTACAAACTATTTCGCAAAATAAGGTAAAAGCAATGCTATGAACGATACAGTACTTAGACTTTCCAACTGCGCTGTCACCAAGGCAAATTATTTTCACTTTAACATCTTCAGAATCTCCCTTTTTGTCATAATCCGGCATCTCACTGTTAGTAGTCGCCATTTTGAGATCCAGAAGAATGTACAAAGTTGCATTGTGGGATCAATATTTTCACTCGAAAACGAGGTATTCCCTCTTTCTAAATATAGATAGTCACGGAAGCGCCCGTAAAATATTCACTAAAGCTGCTCGAAACAAGAGGCTCCATACAGAGATTTGGAAATGGATTTCGCTTTGTTGAAACATATTTCTCCGTGGTATAAGATTTTATTAGAAGCTTACGTCAAATGAAGTGTACGAAATCAAATCTACGTGGTTCAGGGGCCACTTTTGACAACGACCGTTGTTTTTCATCAACAAATTTATTTTACAAGGATAATTTTGCTCAACCCCTCCACCCACTGGCCAGCATATCGTCGAAATGGAAATTACAATTGTCATCGCCGTGTGGAAATGGACCAGACTAAATTATTTACATGCGGTCGTAATTATGTTACAGTCACAAGAATAATATCATCTCTCAAGAACCATGCAAAGTTTAGTGACATTTATTTTTGTAATTGTTGTCGAGATGGATTCGATTTGTTTTTGAAGGATTGTGTTAAAACAATTCTCTTTATCTGATTAAAATATTATGAAGTGTTGAAGATGTAAATCGTCACATAAGAAACGTGATATATTACTCAGGGGTTGGGACTGAGAAAATATTTTTGTTGGTGGTATGCATCTTGAATTTCACGAGTTATCTTACCGGAAAAGTAATTGCTTCCAACATGGCGGCATTAGGCATGGCGGTAAATTCGGGTAAGCGTTTAAAAAAACCTGCATTACTCGTGAACTAAAGGCTAAATTCTTAAAATACATCGCAGATTTGTTACACATGTGATAATGTTTTAGGTATGCCAAGGATCTAATTGATTACACCCGCAATATTTGAATAAACACTTACCGGCATGGTCATATTGCATGTTCTCCTAGTTTCTCTTTTAATTTTGAATTATGCGAGAGGTCTCATATGTCTCAGTCGTTATATGTCTTTGTAACGTTGATGTCCTAAAATTGACATTCCAAGAGAATTCGACACTTCAATAATTTGATTTTCAAATGGTATCATTAATTATTGTTTTGCTGCGTAGATGCCCTGTTTCTCAATTGTCAATGTGATAGGAATGTCCAAGATCCAAACTGGAGAGCCAACTTACCTATGTAAAATGTCAATGTCTTACTTGGCAAAAATAGTACAGTATCTGGGAGTAGTGCACTTTACCAGGCGCACTTTTTCAGATCCAATGCGTTAATTAGCCGACGCTCTACCACTGGACCACAGGCGCTATCACATGTAATCAGTGCTCGTTTAACGGGTCATTAGAATCCCCATTAACATGCATGCGTAATTCAGTAAACAATGAATTGCACATGCGTGTGACATCACGGTCCGCTCTCCCATTCATCTTTTCATGAAACAACACCCGCCATTGTTTATGTCAACATGACTGACCAATGGGATTAACCAGATTAAAGCTTGAAAATGTAAGAATTTATGGCTAACCCGTGCCCAAAGCAAGCTAACCCTAAGGACCGAAAAGGGGTGTTGGATCGTAAAGACTAGTAAGTTTCCCTAAGACCGAAAACGGGTGTTGGATCGTAAAGATGTGTAAGTTTCCCTAAGACCGAAAATGGGTGTTGAATCAGAAAGACGTGTAAGTTTCCCTAAGACCAAGAATGGATGTTTAATCGTAAAGATGTGTAAGTTTCCCTAAGACCGAGAACGGGTGTTGGATCGTAAAGATGTGTAAGTTTCCCTAAGACCGAAAACGGGATTTGGATCGTGAGGCGAGAGTCACCAAAGCGCGAGGCACGGTAACAGTATAACGAGACAGCGGTGGCGCTATAGCGCAGTAATTGAGCTGATGGTAGAGCTCGGCTGCGCCCGGTAAACTGCATTGTTGCCCAGTATCTTCATCATGTTCAAACTAATGTGGATACGGTTTTTGTACTTGTAAATAAGAAGTATGTCATATTCTAGTCTTAATTTCTTTTAAACCATTATGATGACGGTCATATCAGCAGTCAGCAATTTTAAGAAACAATATGTTATCAAATGCAATGTATTTAAAAGATATATATCTCTGGTGTAATGCACACAACTTCTATTGAGATTGCACAGTAAAACAAAAGAACAAATCAAATGAGTTATTGTACGTAAACAAGGTTAGAACTTAACACTAGCCTGCTAGCCTGGGGCTAGTACAAATTCCTGTGGGCTTGTACAAGTTTACCAATTTCCCATTGCTTTAACATTACAGGGCCATTTTATCTTTACCCGGGGTAGTAAGGCATTTGAGTTTAGTTCTAACCCTGAAGTTAAAAATAATGTTGAGAGTGGAATGCAGCGATCTAATTGGTCATATGGTTTAATAAAGTTGGCATAATGTTTCGACCTGTAAGTGTGGTTATCGCAATGAAGGTAATCCCCATTATCCTTTCCAGTGTCCAGATTTAGTTTCTAACAGTATGTCTTGTATTGGCACTTACATAGTTACCAGTGATGAGACACAAATGTCAAGATGTAGATATATACATGATATAATCATGTGCAGTATAATTAACAACATGTCTTCTCCCGAAAAAAACCCAAAGAATATCATGGGTTAAGAATTTTATGGTAAAGTAGATAATTGTCTTTACATACCATAATCATATACATTGATACTTTAAGTCAAGACATTTGGCACATGCTACCCTTCCCCCCACAGCCTAGGTGAGCTGTTAACCTTGGCTAGTGTTATTACCACTTGTATGGCCTTACACAGGAGTCCAATGTGAATGCTTTTACAATTGAATCAGACAGGACTCTATACAGACATGTGATGAAATGAGAGTGTAAATAGAAAGTGTATAATTGATAATACATGTATTGAGAAAATTTACTTGACGGGGACTAACAGACCAGTGTTTGTGTTAAACCCTGTTATATACACAATGACAACAACAACCCTGCAGGCTATTGATGAGTCAGTGATGACTGAAAGTTTGTTTAGTATTGATGAGAGTGACTGACAGTTTGAGTTGGGCATAGGTCATGGTTTCGTTTTACAAGTAGTGCATTGTAGTTGTACCCCTTTGTTTATGCAACCATGGTAATTTTGTCTTTTGTTTTCAGGTGCCCGTTTGTGGGGCCCATTTAAAGCATTATATGATGTAGTCGATGCCGCCATCTACAAGCGCCGACCGAACTCTATTCATGATCTTGAACTGGCATTACGGAAGCATAAACCAGACTTTATTTCACTTCTCAAAACACCAGTAAGTACATAAATCTTTTGAGTACCAGAGCATGGAGATGTTGTACATGTTGTGTTCAACCCTAATTTTCATACCTGTTTGCATACCACTCACTTCTAATGTAAACATAAAAGCTTGATTATGTTGAAACAAATGTTATTAATGCATGTAAAATGTAAAACCATGAACCAAACTGCTCCAAATGGTTGACATTTCTTGTGACATTATCAAGGATTATCAATGATGTGCTCTGGAATGAACAGTTAATTGGAGATACCAAGTGGAACATTGATTACTGAGGTCTTTGATATGAATGTCACAGGCCAAGAACAACCTCCATCGTGAAGCTGTCAAGAAGTCGACGTCAGAGGGAATCCCTGTCCAGGGAGAACAGAGGAGTCAGACCTTCTCCCAGCAGTTTGTGACAGAGACTCTCATCCTTAGTGACTTGTTCCAGCTGAATGAACTAGCTGCCATGGAGCTTCTTATGGCTGGTGAGTACATGGAGCTTCTTATGGCTGATGAGTACATGGATCTTCTTATGGCTGGTGAGTACATGGAGCTTCTTATGGCGGGTGAGTACATGGAGCTTCTTATGGCGGGTGAGTACATGGATCTTCTTATGGCTGGTGAGTACATGGAGCTTCTTATGGCTGGTGAGTACATGGAGCTTCTTATGGCTGGTGAGTACATGGAGCTTCTTATGGCTGGTGGACCACCTCCGTGGTCTAATGGTAGAGCGTCCGCCCAGAGAGCGGTAGGTTTGGGGTTCGATCCCCAGGGGCGTCATACCAAAAGACGTTAAAAGATGGTACTTGTTGTTACCCCGTCTGGCGCTCAGCATTAAGGGGCTAAAACAAGGACTGGTCGGCTCGGAGTCAGTATACTGTGTCTGAGTGGGGTATTCATGTTAAACTGCGGCATGGTATCTCAGTGTGCTAGCACTATAAATCGGCATCAGTCCGGACTAGTACAAGCAGCCACATACACACATACACGTGCATGCACGTCGCTATATAAGTGCAATTATCTTGGACGCGACGTTAAACCCCATTTCACCTCACCTCTTATGGCTGGTGAGTACATGGATCTTCTTATGGCTGGTGAGTACATGGATTTTCTTATGGCTGGTGAGTACATGGATCTTCTTATGGCTGGTGAGTACATGGAGCTACTTATGGCTGGTGAGTACATGGAGCTTCTTATGGCTGGTGAGTACATGGAGCTTCTTATGGCTGGTGAGTACATGGAGCTTCTTATGGCTGGTGAGTACATGGAGCTTCTTATGGCTGGTGAGTACATGGAGCTTCTTATGGCGGGTGAGTACATGGATCTTCTTATGGCTGGTGAGTACATGGAGCTTCTTATGGCTGGTGAGTACATGGATCTTCTTATGGCGGGTGAGTACATGGAGCTTCTTATGGCTGGTGAGTACATGGAGCTTCTTATGGCTGGTGAGTACATGGATCTTCTTATGGCGGGTGAGTACATGGAGCTACTTATGGCTGGTGAGTACATGGAGCTTCTTATGGCTGGTGAGTACATGGATCTTCTTATGGCTGGTGAGTACATGGAGCTACTTATGGCTGGTGAGTACATGGAGCTACTTATGGCTGGTGAGTACATGGAGCTACTTATGGCGGGTGAGTACATGGAGCTTCTTATGGCTGGTGAGTACATGGAGCTTCTTATGGCTGGTGAGTACATGGAGCTTCTTATGGCTGGTGAGTACATGGAGCTACTTATGGCGGGTGAGTACATGGAGCTTCTTATGGCTGGTGAGTACATGGAGCTACTTATGGCGGGTGAGTACATGGAGCTTCTTATGGCTGGTGAGTACATGGAGCTTCTTATGGCTGGTGAGTACATGGAGCTACTTATGGCGGGTGAGTACATGGATCTTCTTATGGCTGGTGAGTACATGGAGCTACTTATGGCTGGTGAGTACATGGATCTTCTTATGGCTGGTGAGTACATGGATCTTCTTATGGCTGGTGAGTACATGGAGCTACTTATGGCGGGTGAGTACATGGATCTTCTTATGGCGGGTGAGTACATGGAGCTACTTATGGCTGGTGAGTACATGGAGCTACTTATGGCGGGTGAGTACATGGAGCTTCTTATGGCGGGTGAGTACATGGAGCTACTTATGGCTGGTGAGTACATGGAGCTACTTATGGCGGGTGAGTACATGGAGCTTCTTATGGCTGGTGAGTACATGGAGCTTCTTATGGCGGGTGAGTACATGGATCTTCTTATGGCTGGTGAGTACATGGAGCTACTTATGGCTGGTGAGTACATGGAGCTTCTTATGGCTGACTTCTTTGAGAGGCATTTAGAAGTTGGAGTCTAAGTAAGTAAGTAAAGATAAGATATATGGATGAACAACTTCTTTATTACAATTAGGAGCGACGTTTCGGTGTAGGTTCTAACACTGTTATCAAGCAAGTGATGTACAGAGTATGGTTGACAAGTATATATACAGGACAGGAGGCAGTGTTTATGCTCGTGTGTTTCACCAAACGGGTAATCGTGTAAGATCTGTTACTTCAAGCTTTCCTCCGACATGAAGCTGACACTGTGATTTTAACTGAATACTGTTCAAAGCCATATTAACCAGACAGACTCATTCACTCACTCACTCACTCACTCACTCACTGTTATAGCTGATAAGTACAATAATTTCTACTATTGAAATCAAGTGAATCTGATCAAATAGGAGGTTCCTTTCTTTCTATACAAGATGTTGAAAAGACTTGGTGGATGATGTTTTGTTGTGTTTCCAGGTGAGAACCAGCTGCCCAACTACCCTGGCCTGACTCGGGGTCTGGTGGCGGTCATCCTTTACTATGATGGACGTAGGAGCCTGGTCAACTCTCTCCGCATACTGCTCCAGTCTCGAGAAGGCCGGACATGGACACTGGGCATGCCCTCCGACTTAGCTCACCTGATACAGACCTTCACCTCACAGTTGGTGGAGGAGGGACTTGTCAACAAAATACTAGGCAAGTAGTTCTTACTCTTCCAGTGGGTAATGTGGTGTACATGTTGTTCTAATATTAATCCTTCACAAAATTTTTTTAACTTAAACTTGGATAGAAAATATGTACCAAATGTCATGCTGTCAATGTGATAAATGTCATGCTGATCTTTGCCTTTCCTACAACCATGATTACACCTTTATTTCTTTGCAACACTTGTTAGCTGTTTAGTTTGTTAAGAAGACAAGCAATCTCATTAAAATCAGACCTTAGCGCTCGCTGTCGCTACACAAAGATCTGACGACATCTTATTACGGGTCAGAACGACCTATCATGAACTTTGACTGACAAATCAAAAGCCTAACAAAATGTTAACATTAACGCATCAGAATGCAGCTTTCTCGAGCTTTACGTTACTGGTTTTAAACAGGCTTCCATTCCATACTATGCTTTGGAAATACCAATGTTTAAACCAATCCTATCTCACACTGTGCATATCTCTTTCTTCTTTTGATCTTGGTGTGAAAACACCCAAAACAAAGTTTCCCCGCTTCAAAAAACATTTCGCCCAAACACATGCCACCATCACTATGGTCACCTTCAAAACAAATGGGTCATGTACTGTAATCCCGTGCATAGCAACCCTTCACAACCTACACAATCATTCTCTTTCTCTTTGCCACATTGTGGAGACGTGTTGGAATCATAGAGAATTATATTTTTTGGGGTGAGAACTGTTTCTCTTACGACTGCAACATTATAAACAGATCAGTCCGTTCTGTAAAAAGTGCAGTCATGCTCTGGATAGACATCAACATCAATATCGGGGCATATGTTCTATCAATAAATGATGCCAGCAATGTTGCCAACTTTCTGAGTTTAAAACCTACCTCTGCAATTGTCAAGCGTTCAGTCGTTCAGCGTTTCAAGGCTTCGTTGAATAATTCTGAACTTTCATAGTCAGAATCAGGTTCGGTACATCCCACCCCGTTCCTCTTATTGGCAGGATCGACATTGATTGAACAGTCAGGATCGGGATCGTTGATCAACTTCTGAGAATTGGTGTCACGATGAGTGGGATCTACATACTCTCCCTGAGCCTAGCATTCGGAGGCAGTGGGGTAGCCTAGCGGTCATAGCATTAAATCGTCACACCCAAGACTGGTTTTGTTTCCCCTCATGGTTACAATGTGTGAAGCTGATTTCTGATGTTCCCCGCCATGATATTGTTGCAATATTGCTACAAGCGACGTAAAACCAAACACGCTCACTCACTCACGCATCACCTGGATCAGACTGATGGGTCGGAGATGTTATTACAGTCTAGACTGGCATCATTCCCCCTTACATACTTCACAGAATCACCACACTGTATCATTGGCGTTCTGATAGTGCACTTAATTTTTACTTGTGTGATCAACAGAGATATGACGATTTCATCATTTTTAGTCTTATTTTCATGCATCAAATATTACGAAGATCAAGTTGCTAATGCACCGGTCACGTCACACATTCTACAAGGAACTGGCTTCATGTACATCATTATTTCTTTGGAACTCGGAACACCATTTTGTTCGTCTACTGTCCAGTTCTCACTATTTGTCACTAGATGGGGTTTTATGTGTGTGGTGCTTTGACCAAGTGTTAGGCAAGGATGTAATTTTCCATGCTCCAGCACAGAGATATTTTGTGTAGCAGGTGTCAGGACTTTCTCTGGGTTGTTAACAAACCAGCTTTTGCTGGATCAGAACAGAATGACCTGATGCAAGCCGTTAAGACACTTTACCTACCATCCCGCAGCCGTAACGGGCAGTATACACATTTCTACTTCAAAGTGACTGGACCGCTAGTTTTCAGTAGGACCTCAATGACTACACGCGACAGCATTCACAATCCAGAGTTTTGGAAACACCGCCACACTTCTGCATGGTCATAATCACCTTGCTTTGTACTTTCATTTCGTACAACGACTGTTCCTGCACAAATTCAATTGCAAGACCAACATGTCACATGACCTGTGCATCGATGACTGTACGATTGATTGAGGAGCACACTCATAACGCGATGTATGGCAGGGCATGGGTTTGTAGACAACCAAAATTTCCATGTCAGCAACTTGGAGTTCCAGCAGTAGTGTTAGCAATGACACATTGGATGGAGTTCCTTCCAGCATCCTGACCGATGGTTCAGTCAGACAAAACATCAGTTTCTTGATACATCAACAAGATGGGATTGACGATATCCTCATTGCCACTACTTGCCTCACTTTCAAGATCCGCCATACAATGCAGCTCTCAGTCCAGTCAGCCAATGCCTGAGTGATCTGGAATGTAAACAAGATGGACTCCATCATCCCTCCTGTCATCATCGACAGAGTTCCTCCGTCTGATCGACTCCCTTTGTATACAGGTTCGGGCGATGCACATTCCAGGGATCAACAACAACATTGTGGATGCTGTGTCCCAACCAGAACAACCATCCCCAACACAATGGCATCTCCATCCAACGACTTTTTGGTGCATTTGCCTCCTCTATCCAAGGCCAGATGTCAACCTTTTTGTAACCCGGTTCAACAACAGGTTCAACACTCGTATCACCCATCCCTGAGGCATGAGACCACGACGCCTCCAAACATCTTCGACTTCTTTTGGTCATGCATTTTTGGCTGGCAGGAAGTTCACTGTTCACGGATAAACATTGCAGATAGGAGTTACCATCATCAGGGCAGCGTCAAGGGTTGATCTATTTGGACTCTGTTGGGATTTTATTGCGAAAATCAATTCCCGGATCAACCGGATCGGTTGTCCACCATCCCCTATGTAGCGTCTCAGATGAATCCAGATGATCAGGAAAACATCACGTCATGCCCGGTTGGAGCTCTATGCATTTACCTGAAGGCTTCAGCAGCGCTATGACGCCCCTGGAAGTGACTCATTATCCCATTATCCACAGCAGCCCTGATGGAGGTCTCCTGTACAACAATTTGCGTTTGGTTACGCTCAGCAATTCTACAAGCCTGTACCTTTGCAGGATTGCCTTCCCAGGGGCTATCGAAGCCACACAGGACTAGAGCTGTTGCCTCTAGGATGGCTTTACACAGCAACTGCATGTTGTTGTCTCTATGATGGCTCTATGACTGCACCTTATCTGACATGCTGGAAGGGTACTTCTGGAAGTCTGATGCAGTCTTCGCTTCTTACTGTCTACCTGCGTGATGCACAGGATTACAGTGCATGACCCATTTGCTTAAGTGGTGGCCATAATGATACCGGGTTGTGTTCGGGCGAAATGTTTTTTGAAGCTGGAAACTTTCATCTGGGGCGTTTCCACACCAAGAACGAAAGAGTAAGAAATACATAGTGTGAGATAGGATATGTATATAAATATGCAATGTTTTGCAATTATGTTTACTGTACTATACTCTTAATCATGTTCTTATTTTCCCTGCAGATTTGATCCGGTCCATTGATGAAGTAACTGAAATGGACAAGCTTCAGAAGGACAGAGCACTTGGCCCTCCCAAACACAGAAAACAGGTAGGAAAACATTATGTTAATACAATTATGAATTTGTAAAGCATTTTTCCAATTTATAACTGCTCAAATGTGCTTAGACCATGGCAGATGTAGTCAAGGGCTTGATTAAAGAGACAGGTTTTACATGTTTTTTTTATAGTTTGTCAAATTTTCTGATTCTCTGAATTATGAATTTACTTGGAATCTTATTTTAGACTTTGTTCCCTCATCTACTGAATGGGGCACAGGTGGCCTAGTGGGCTAAGGCACCGCAGTTCCATGTGCAGAGTTGCGTCCCTTGGGCATGATTGTAGGTTCCCGATTATGTTTCTAGGTTTGTCAGCACAAATCCCGTGGGTATGTGGGTTTTACCCAAGTGGTAAACATCTGAGACCAGCATCACTTCAGGCTTTCCACCCTCATTAAGCTGAAAAGCCATGGCATAACTGTAATACTGTTCAAAGTGGTGTTAAAGCCAGATCACTCACTACTGAATATACTGCTGACCACTATACATGTTCTACTTTGGTTATGCCTGTAGGTTGTGGAACTGTTCCGAGAGATCAAGCTGTCACTGGCTGAGTGTCTCTTCTGTCTGGCATGTCAGCAGCCTCTCAGTAAGGGCGACACCTTGAGGCTGATTGCTCACCTAAAGGAAGACAACTCTGTGACTGGAGATGACAAACTAGAGCCGGTGACCCTGTGTCTACTGCTGACTCTCCTGTACTGCTTCGATGTGAGGATCCTGGAACAGGAGGATGCCGCAGGTACTGCTCACATGACGCTGTATTTACTCCAGCTGGGAATCGTGTATCTGCATGTTGGAGTATCTCTTTGTGTTGTTGATGTACAACAGTTGTACATAAGTATTCTATAGATCTACAGGTTTCACACTGATTTGAAAAGTGCTATTAATTATCAGGTTGTTACAAAATGTGCTGGTTTTGTTGTTTGATGGATTACACTCCATTGACCGTCCTTCAAAGTGCTTGACTGTCCATGTGTAAATCAAGTGTGAATGGTAGCTGAACTTATTGTTTGTCAACCAAATGGTTACATCTGGGTGTATAGCGTTGTAATTGTATATTGCTTTCGATAGTGTCTGGAATGAATTATGTAGCCTTTGTTTCCTTGATATTTGCTGTTATGTACGTTATCGGTAGACATGGTAGATTAGCTGGTAGATTGTTTGTAGAGTTCACTGTTCTTTCTTGTTGTGCCAACCTTGAGTGTGACTTTAACATTTCTGTATTTTTTACTCAGATATTGCCCAGAGATTGCCGGTTATCTCTGACCCGAGTTACTTGATAGAGGTCCACAGGGAGATGGTGGCTGTCCCTGCGTGGGCCAACACAGGACTGAAGGCCTCTGTGCAGTTCGCTTGGGCCATGCTGCTGCGACAACTCTCACAGTACCCACTAGCTGGAGGTAGGACTTCGTAACCATGGCAACTAGTAGTTTGTGGAAAAGGATGTAGATCAACAATAAGATAAGGTATTTTGAGTTGACTAGTTGTAGATTGTATTGTCAATCATAGCTTCATCGAAAAGCACTGCTAAAAGTTAAGGGTGTTCCTTGGAATTGATTTGCTGCTAAAGTTTTTGAAACCAGCAACCCCTAAATCTTTCATGCTTAACATTGGTGTTGTACCAAGAGCACCTTGACTTTCATGCTGGCACCTGTACAGGTGTGACTGAACCATTTGAGGATGACGAGGCACTCATGGACCAGGCTATCGAGGGCAATGTCTTCAGCTTCCTGCGCAGCTCTGTTGCCGCGATGTCCGAGTTCCACCAAGATGTGAGTACAAACAAGGGTAGTTCATCGGGACACTTTCGCAAAAAACATTTCATTGATAAAGATTTTGTTCAACATTATTGCTAGTCTGTGACAATTAAAATGTTCAAAGGGCTCGTGAAATGCAGAAGGTTAATGAACCTGCTGGCTACTTTTTTCTAATACACTATGCGTCATTCTCAGATGAATTTAAGGCCATTAGGGGTAATTTATTTTACAGTAATGAAAACGTTGATGTGTGAGTGGAACATTAATTTGACCAGTTGTCAGTACAACATCATGTTCATCAGGGCTAGTAAATGTTTTTCGAACTTGTCGTGGAAACAGCCTTGAACAAAGTTTCCAGCTTCTAAAAACACTTCGCCTGAACACATCCAGGCATCACTATTGTCACCACCTAAACTAATGGGTCATGCAATGTAATCCTGTGCACTGTGACCCTAACCAGCTTGATCTCTGCCACATCATTGTCTTTCTCATCGCCAATGTGTATGAATGTGTTTGCAACATTAGAGATTTATTTTTTTTGTGGATAAGTTTTCCTCTTACGTCCATCAACATTTATGCCAAAATTGTGGGACCTGATTAGGATAAACGCCCTGCCTGCAGGAATTACAGATGTATTTATTCATCAAGAGATCCACATGATCTTTGTTGTGACTACTGTGGTCTTAGTAAACCAAATCTTCGATGCCCACAATGTTCCCACCTGTCTGAGGAATCCTTTTGCAATTAGCCGTGCAAAGGCCAGAGATGGCTTGGTTCTGGCAGGAAGATTGTCATTTAAGAAACTGTCCTATACCCCACCAATAATGAGGTGAGGATGGCTACGGGAGGTTGTTTGAAGAAACGTCTGTCTTGGTCAAACGCTTGGGCTTTTTTGACAATGAAGGTCCACGTTCCTGTCTCTAGATTTAGACCGTCGATCAGTATTGCGTCAACTGTACCCTGTGCGCCTGTCCCTATGCCGCTGATTAAGCAACCTTCGACTACAGACATGCATACTGTTTGGTGAAAGATTGCACTACTGCAGCAATAACTTCTGCTATCAACCTATCAATGCCTGATCGTTATGCAGATTGACATCGCTACCCACCTTATCCGCCCTATGGATCTATGTATGAACACTATCGCTGTATGCAACCAAGGGAGCAACACCAGGATCGACATCGATATGAGGATTGACATTGCTGTTTGTCTCATCAAGTGTTTGAAATAAGTTTTAAACCCATCAAGACTGTTTGGTAGGTGTCCATCTTCAAAGCTACCTGCCCTCATTCAGGCATTATAAATATTGATAAATAATGAAAAATATGAGAAATCATGCCTTGATTCAGTTGAAATAACACAAACAATTACTTGAGAATCTATGAGGACTTATGATGAAACTGAATACATAAGTAGTCTTAAAATTATCTGCCAGACAGTCGGGCAGGTGAAGGAAAATTTCATGCAGCCAGACAGAAAAGCTACCAGCCACAGGCAGGCAGTTATTTTGGACACTGGTTTCCCCGTTGCTGTTCCCCTCCAGTCGACACCGTTCAGGTCAACATTCGCAGCTGACCGACATTGCCTATTCCTGTGCAACAATCCCCACCTATGGATGCACCTGCTATGAGGGATGCGCCGCCGACTTTCTTTTTACCAAGTTCTCATTAGGATCAATCTAACCTCTCAAGACTTGTTACTGGCCTTGACTCCCACCAACGCACTGGTCTACCAACTGTACCCACTATTCCTCGACTCCTGCCTAGGTCGCTCCCCCTTAGTACATTGATCCGGTTCAACTTGACACTTTGTGTGGACAGCTAGATGTCACCCCTGACTGTCGGGCCTCCCCACTCCCTTTCACTGGCAGCTTTGACTACGTGGACCCGGCTGATATGCTGCACTGGATTGCAGACAAGCCTAAGTTACAAAGAAGTAATTCTACCGAAGAAAACCTTATGGGCTTCATCGTCCCCAATTGTGGTTGAATAGGTTCCCTACTTCATAACTGCGAGGTCGTTTCTTGAAACAATGCCCTACATGAAAGCACATTACACAGGCTATACCTGATTTCCTGTTATGTCCAACTGACGTAAAGGGGTTTCCCACTCTTGGTATGGTGTTTACCCACTCACGACTTCCTGTCTTTTAATACACTAGACGAAGTAACAATCTGGTGATTGAAGCACTGTTTAGCACCAGCTTCCTTGTGTCTATCTCCCAGTTGTAGTCGTCTACAGGCTAGGGTATCTGTGCCCCTCTGTCCAACCATGGGATAAAATGCATGTGTGAGATCGAATAAGTTTGAAAATTGACAATAAATTGTATATGTATGTACTTATCCTATCTCACACGCTATTTGCCCTCCCAGCTGTCCCGCATCACAGCTACACCAGCTTGTCAGCTCTAAGAAAGAGAATGATGTGGCAGGGGTATTGAGGTGATCAAGCCAGTTAGGGTCACAGTTCACGGGATTACAGTGCATGACCCACCTGTTTGGATAGTGACTATGGTGATGCTGGGATGTGTTCGGGCTAAATGTTTTAGGAAGTTGGAAACTTTGTTCTTGGGCATTTTCACACCCAGATCAAAAGAAGCAGAAATGCATAGTGTGACTGTGAGATAGAAATGGTACAATCTATTGTCAAATTTTATATTACTACTAAACTCAATGGCTAATGAAGTTTTTGGGGTTAATTTTACAAAGTTGTCAATGTCAAAGTGGATGGCTTTGAGCATTATGTAACTCCCCCAACTCCCCCAACTCCCCTCTGCACCACCTTGGCTGACAATGACTCTTATGTTTATGGTTTGCTCTCAGACACCATTTTGTATCTCCAGATAAGAGGGACAATCCTACATCTAGTGTTTCACACTGAAAAAAGCCTTCTTGCTCCATTGCTTGAAACAAATTGTATTTCTTCTTTGTATTATACGAAAATGTTAAAATGGGTAGTTTCATAGGTAATTGGTTTAATAACATGTTTTTTTGTTCAGGAATTCTACTGCCGCCGTTTGCACTGCCTGGTGACAGATCTCATCTACCACATGCCTCTCAAGGTGAGCTGCCATTCCGTTACCTCCAGTATACACTGATCGTCTGGGGCATTCTCTTACGGTACAAATTCCCAGGATTCAAGTAATATAGCAGAAAACCTTCTGGACCCGATTGCCAATGGATGTCATGATCTGTCCTTCCCAATGTGCTCAGGGTTAAGAATGAAAGATTAAGAGGTCCATATCTTAACTCTTGTCGTTACATATACGATTTAAGTGGCACCAGGATGAACAATATAGCAGAAAACGTTATAGAACTCATGGGTGGAGTTGATTGTTGCACTTGTTATCTATTAGGCTTGTCTGGACTCTATTGTGAACAGACCAGTGTGTTGATGCAGCAGCATTCACTCTCTTGATCATTATCATACACTGATGGACCAAGTTTCACAAAGCGATCGTGGTGCTACAACTATCGTAACTCCTATACTCTAAGATATACTTCATGACAGTCGTAGTTCTGTGCTTGCTTTGTGGAATGAGGCCTGTGCATTACTATACGGGTAACGCTATTTTTCAGGGCATTATCATTTGCAGAAACCTGAGGTCTTCCATTAGCTGCCTGACAAGGGAGGGCATAAAATTAGAGTTACCGTTATTGTAGCTAAAATGGAAAGAATTTGTTATCAAATAAAAATAAAGAACCATATCAGTTTTGAAACATTACTGCAATCAACACACATCGAATGTCACTGACCCACTTTTACAAATATGGAAACGTCACAGAACAAACCAGGTGATGTCACTATTACACTCCCTATGACATCACCCAACAGTGGGCGTGATAATGACCTGTCGTCATGCAATATGAGGGTATTATCAAGTTATAGTGGCCCGCTCATTTCTGATAACATGAGGGCGGTTTAATGATAATTCTATCCATTTTAGGACTTGTCCAGCTTATTGTGACCTAGTTCTCTCACCAGTGAATTTCTGTTGGAGATGAAGAATTTTCTCCATTGGAAAGCAAGTCTGAACATGCATTTGTTTAACATGACCATGCATAATTGACAGGTGAAAGAGCTACGTAACCGTGGTGATGAGACAGCTCGTATCATCATGGCGTACCAGGTGGAGGGTCAGGAAGCGCCGCCACAGAGGCGGGACCTTGAACACATGTTTGGCCTGGTCAGTGTTGCACTCTGTCACATATACCAGTTACGTCTTGGTAAAAGTATAGATATCAGAATGTAGAATATTTGGATTTGGGGATTGCAGAATGTGATTTGATGTATTTTATATTCAAATTCTGTCTTTGTAATTGCTCATTTGTATATTTTCCATGTTGCTATAACTAGTACAACAGAGACTTCGTGTAAGAGGACATAATAACTACTAACTGTTTAAAATTAATGGAGGGATTAAAAGCACTTCAGTATATAGTATTTGTATTTAGGGATCCCCAGAATCTTCACCTTTTAACAGTAAGAGTCCCATGGGGATTCCGGATGAGAATATAGGTCCCCAGAAACCAATACTGGTTGTAAGAGGCGACTAAATGAATGACCTAGTTGACAGCATGTCATGGTATCTTAAATGTATGGATTAATGACCCTGTATGTAGATCTGTATGTAGTGTACTGTATCCCACCATGAGTTGTGTGTTGTACAAGCCAGGGGCGTGTGTTCCAGATCAGTGAGCTGTACATAGATCTGTATGTAGTGTACTGTATCCCACCATGAGTTGTGTGTTGTACAAGCCAGGGGCGTGTGTTCCAGATCACTGAGCTGTACATAGATCTGTATGTAGTGTACTGTATCCCACCATGAGTTGTGTGTTGTACAAGCCAGGGGCGTGTGTTCCAGATCAGTGAGCTGTATGTAGATCTGTATGTAGTGTACTGTATCCCACCATGAGTTGTGTGTTGTACAAGCCAGGGGCGTGTGTTCCAGATCAGTGAGCTGTACGTAGATCTGTATGTAGTGTACTGTATCCCACCATGAGTTGTGTGTTGTACAAGCCAGGGGTGTGTGTTCCAGATCAGTGAGCTGTACATAGATCTGTATGTAGTGTACTGTATCCCACCATGAGTTGTGTGTTGTACAAGCCAGGGGCGTGTGTTCCAGATCAGTGAGCTGTACATAGATCTGTATGTAGTGTACTGTATCCCACCATGAGTTGTGTGTTGTACTAGCCAGAGGCGTGTGTTCCAGATCAGTGAGCTGTACATAGATCTGTATGTAGTGTACTGTATCCCACCATGAGTTGTGTGTTGTACAAGCCAGGGGCATGTGTTCCAGATCAGTGAGCTGTACATAGATCTGTATGTAGTGTACTGTATCCCACCATGAGTTGTGTGTTGTACAAGCCAGGGGCGTGTGTTCCAGATCACTGAGCTGTACATAGATCTGTATGTAGTGTACTGTATCCCACCATGAGTTGTGTGTTGTACAAGCCAGGGGCGTGTGTTCCAGATCAGTGAGCTGTATGTAGATCTGTATGTAGTGTACTGTATCCCACCATGAGTTGTGTGTTGTACAAGCCAGGGGTGTGTGTTCCAGATCAGTGAGCTGTACATAGATCTGTATGTAGTGTACTGTATCCCACCATGAGTTGTGTGTTGTACAAGCCAGGGGCGTGTGTTCCAGATCAGTGAGCTGTACATAGATCTGTATGTAGTGTACTGTATCCCACCATGAGTTGTGTGTTGTACAAGCCAGGGGCGTGTGTTCCAGATCAGTGAGCTGTATGTAGATCTGTATGTAGTGTACTGTATCCCACCATGAGTTGTGTGTTGTACAAGCCAGGGGTGTGTGTTCCAGATCAGTGAGCTGTACATAGATCTGTATGTAGTGTACTGTATCCCACCATGAGTTGTGTGATGTACAAGCCAGGGGCGTGTGTTCCAGATCAGTGAGCTGTACATAGATCTGTATGTAGTGTACTGTATCCCACCATGAGTTGTGTGTTGTACAAGCCAGGGGCGTGTGTTCCAGATCAGTGAGCTGTATGTAGATCTGTATGTAGTGTACTGTATCCCACCATGAGTTGTGTGTTGTACAAGCCGGGGTCGTGTGTTCCAGATCAGTGAGCTGTACATAGATCTGTATGTAGTGTACTGTATCCCACCATGAGTTGTGTGTTGTACAAGCCAGGGGCGTGTGTTCCAGATCAGTGAGCTGTACGTAGATCTGTATGTAGTGTACTGTATCCCACCATGAGCTGTGTGTTGTACAAGCCAGGGGTGTGTGTTCCAGATCAGTGAGCTGTACGTAGATCTGTATGTAGTGTACTGTATCCCACCATGAGTTGTGTGTTGTACAAGCCAGGGGCGTGTGTTCCAGATCAGTGAGCTGTACATAGATCTGTATGTAGTGTACTGTATCCCACCATGAGCTGTGTGTTGTACAAGCCAGGGGTGTGTGTTCCAGATCACTGAGCTGTACAGGAAGGACCCCATGAATCTAGAGCTGTCCCTGGAGTACTGGTGTCCTGCCGAGTCGGCTGGGGGGCAGGAATCCTTCTACAACTACCGACCACCCCCCAGACAGGTAGGCATGTCAGAGGGAGCGTTGTTGTGTGGGAGTCGGTTGCCTGTTCCTACTGGAAGTATTCCGTTCTGGAGATGTAATCATCCATGTTGAAATTACAGGGCATGGCCTGGTTACACAAAGCAGTTTTAGTGCTGAGACTCTAGTTCTTTGACATAGATTTCAGAGTATCGTTACATCTAACATTTGACCCAACTTTAAAATTGGGAGTCAGTTTAGGATTTCATAATGGGTTCTGATATTTGGTAACTTACTATTTGTTACCCTATCCAATTATGTATCATTTCCAAGGAGATCAAAATCATGACCCGTCTTTCAGGAGAGGAATGATTGTGACTCTCCGATATTTTAATTGACAGTATTATTACATGTACATCTATCTCCAGGTTGCCCTGTTCAAGTTTATCCGTGGTGCTGGAGACCTGCTGCCGGCCCCACTGTATATTCCCTACATCAACATGCTGGCCGGGCTGGCTGCCGGGCCCCAGGCAGCACAACACTGCTTCAATCTCCTCAAGGCCAACGGGAGCAACTCAGGTAGGACACTAGGATTCTTGGACTTCAGGTGGCAATCAAAGGTGGCAGAACGTACAGTTCAGAGTTGCTTCCTGTTGCTTTGTCAGATTCTGCTAATTCTAGTTTGAATCACAGATTGTCCCTAATGATGATCTTAATTCTGAGGCATAATTCCTGTGCTTTTGGATTTCACCAAAGTGTTAATCATTAAGCATTAAGACCTGCATCATTTGGGACTTTCCCCTTGCATTAAACAGACTGAAAGTATCACCTGTGGTGGTTGTTTTCAGTATTTGGTCGAGTGGCCTTGTCTTTGTGTGTAAGTGTTTATCTACGTAAAAAACATTGTTTGATAACTACCTTTATTACTTTTATTACTTTATTACCTAGAATTATCTCTGACAGTGAAACCAACAAGACATCTCAAGTGTCCGTTTTTGCATCACTTAGGCTTACATCAATTCAATTTAGCTGTCCCTGTAGTGATATGGTATAAGAAATAAGGTTAACCCACTGACCCCTCTTCCCTGACCAGGTGGGTCATCCAGCATGGTGTCCTGGGACCACATCTTTGTCTCCATGAACCAGTACTATGCCAGTCTCAGGAGGGAGACTCAGAGCTCCATAGACTCCAACATGTACAGAGCGCCACCAGCAAGGGCCATAACTCCTCATGAACTGGAAGGAATTCTGTCAGTTCTACAGTTGATCCGATGTGTAGCTAATGAGGTATGTTTTCTCCTTTGTTGATGAAGATGACAGCGTTATTGGTCAGTCTGGATGTTCCATTAAACTGGCATTGACAGACTTGTCAGTGATGTCTGGAGAGTTGGAGAGTCACTGATCCAGTTGCCAATTGCCCAAGTCTGTGCCAAAGCCTTTCAAGTCTACAAGCTTGAACTTGACTCTTATCATCATTTTCAATAGATTTTGGGGGGCGGTCGGGTAGCCTAGTGGTTAAAGAGTTTGCCCGTCACGCCAAAGACCTGGGTTCGATTCCCGATAGGGGTACAATTTGTGAAGCCCATTTCTGGTGTCCCCCGCTGTGATATTGCTGGAATATTGCTAAAAGCGGCGTAAAGCCATACTCACTCACTCAATATATTTTTGCGTTATTATATGGACTATTATTAGCTGAATTTACATGACCAAACAGAATTTTACTTCACTTGGGCTTTGGACTAGTGGCTATAGTTGCAAAATGTATATGTTAGTTTCCTACAAAAATATTGTAATGTGACTCTTAACCTACAGCCTCGCAGGCAGCTTTGGTTGTATACTCTCAATGGAGTTGAAAATAAAAATCACGTCGCACTGACTTCGCACCATGAACATTCTCTTGGTGAATGGACTTTGTTGTGTTATATGTGGACTTATACTTTTTTGATTAAACTGCAGTACTGCTGATTCAGCATCATTGCAATATTCACTCACTCACCAAAATCAAAAGTTTTTGTTAATGACTTCATTTCTGCAGAATGAGAACTGTCGTGGAGCGTTGTTCGAGAACCAGCAGTGGGGAGCCATCATGATGATGTTTGGTCTGGTGGGGTGCAGCATCCCCTCCAAGATGAAGGCTGAACTGCTCCTCACCCTTGCCGCCATGGCCAAGACTCCAGCCATTGCAGCCAGCATCTGGCAGACTCTGGAAGTGGCACAGGTTTGTAACATTGTCCATAGCTGTCAAATTACCATCACTTCAGCTTGCATCAGGCCTGACTCTGGAAGTGGCACAGGTTTGTAACATTGTCCATAGCTGTCAAATTACCATCACTTCAGCTTGCATCAGGCCTGACTCTGGAAGTAATTCAGGTACATAACAGGGGACTCGTGAAGATCAGGTCTTGAGCAACCTATGTTTGTCATAAGAGGCGACTAACGGGATTGGGTAGTCAGGTTCGCTGACTTGGTTGACACACCCTTCCTTTCTGCCTTACTTCCCTGAAAACCCTTGAAGATCCGGGTTAGACTTGGTCTTCAGCAACCCATGCTGGTCCCCCGTGAAGATCCAGGTTAGACTTGGTCTTCAGCAACCAATGCTTGTCACCCGTGAAGATCCGGGTTAGACTTGGTCTTCAGCAACCCATGCTGGTCCCCCGTGAAGATCCAGGTTAAACTTGGTCTTCAGCAACCCATGCTGGTCCCCCGTGAAGATCCAGGTTAAACTTGGTCTTCAGCAACCCATGCTGGTCCCCCGTGAAGATCCAGGTTAGACTAGGTCTTCAGCAACCCATGCTGGTCCCCCGTGAAGATCCAGGTTAGACTAGGTCTTCAGCAACCCATGCTGGTCCCCCGTGAAGATCCAGGTTAAACTTGGTCTTCAGCAACCCATGCTGGTCCCCCGTGAAGATCCAGGTTAAACTTGGTCTTCAGCAACCCATGCTGGTCCCTCGTGAAGATCCAGGTTAAACTTGGTCTTCAGCAACCCATGCTGGTCCCCCGTGAAGATCTAGGTTAAACTTGGTCTTCAGCAACCCATGCTGGTCCCCCGTGAAGATCTAGGTTAAACTTGGTCTTCAGCAACCCATGCTTGTCATATGAGACGACTAACAGGATCGGGTGGTCAGACTCGCTGACTTGGTTGATGCATGACATCATATCCCAGTTGAATGGATCGATGCTCATGATATCAATCACTGGATTGTCTGGTCCAGACTCGATTATTAACAGACTGACATAAAATAGTCATATTGCTGAGTGTGGCGTTAAACAACAAACAAACATAACAGGGACACTGATTTCAAATTACCATCGCTTCAGCTTGTATCAGGTCTGACTCTGGAAGTTATTCAGATGTACTACAGGAAAGCTGATTGTCAAATTACCGTCACTTTATCTTACATTTAGATGTACAGAAAATATTTCTTCATGCCAATAAGTTGATCATTTCAAAATGGATGACCCATCCCAAAATCTGTAACTGATAACTTGTCTCTTTTTAATGACTACCTCAAAGAGCTGTAATTTGGTGTTATCATACACCATATCTTATGACGCATCATCTGAAACTGTCAGCACTACTTGTGATCTACAAGTTGTCCTGACATCCTGTCTGCTGGTTTTGCAGGTTTTGCCGACCACGGCCACCAGTGCTGAACAAAGAGGAGGCATCCAGGTACGTCAGTCACTGAGCCACACAGATGGATGTCTACTGATACCCCATTATTAACCTGTCACATATTAAATATGTTGATTAAGGAGGCACCTTTACCCTGGACAGTTGAACAGCAGTTAGGTCCATGTATCAGCGCTTTGAACTCATAACACTGTTTGTGCCAATTGTTCATCTTCCCAGGGCAAGGGAGTTGACTCGCCATAAAAGTCCAGTTTCCTATCTTGCCGAACTTGGCTATCAGAGGTGGAATCTGATTGGAGGAACATCGAAGGGATATTACTAGTAAAAGCCAATGGTGGCGCTACGATCAAGCCCAGAAATTCCAGCTAGTTCAGCAAGGGTGGAAACTGGACTTTTACAGTCAGTTAACTCTCTTGCCTTGGGAAGATGTCAATTATTATGTCAGCAGCAGCTGTTTTAAGTTTTATTAATACCGTCTTAGAGCTGGTCCCAGCAACTTACGCTGGTTCGTTAAAGACGACTTAATGGATGGGGTGGTCAGGTTGATAGAGTGTCATCATTCCCTGACAGCATGGATCACTGCTCACAATATACATCCCTCGATTGCCTTGTCCGGACGCGATTATTTACAGGTCGCTGGATTATTGCCGAGTTAAACAACAAAAAGAGTTTTAATGGTTCTTTCTGTCTTAAATAACAGTAATATAAGTTGTATTAAAACATCACTACATCTATTTTCTGTTTTATGACAAAAGTTAGATTTCAAACAGTGATAGCAGTAACTTCGCATTACCAAGAAGAGGCCACCCACCTGTAGAAATGTTTCGAGTTATTGTCTGAGATGCTTTGTTTTTAGATTGAACTGGAGGAGATTGAGAGCCGTTGTGAAGAGTACCCGATGACAATTGCTTTCCTTGAGTTGATTGATCGTCTGACAGACATACCTATCCCAGCAGGCCTTGGGGCAGGATATCGTGCCCCGGGATTTGAACCCTACCTGGACTTCATCATCACCAGCGTGTTCCTGAGGTTCAACTCCAGGGCTTACAAGGACAGTGCTGAGAAGGTAGGAGTCAGGGTTTAGTGTACTGTAGTGCTGAGAAGGTAGGAGTCAGGGCTTAGTGTACTGTAGTGCTGAGAAGGTAGGAGTCAGGGCTTAGTGTACTGTAGTGCTGAGAAGGTAGGAGTCAGGGTTTAGTGTACTGTAGTGCTGAGAAGGTAGGAGTCAGGGCTTAGTGTACTGTAGTGCTGAGAAGGTAGGAGTCAGGGTTTAGTGTACTGTAGTGCTGAGAAGGTAGGAGTCAGGGCTTAGTGTACTGTAGTGCTGAGAAGGTAGGAGTCAGGGCTTAGTGTACTGTAGTGCTGGGAAGGTAGGAGTCAGGGTTTAGTGTACTGTAGTGCTGAGAAGGTAGGAGTCAGGGTTTAGTGTACTGTAGTGCTGAGAAGGTAGGAGTCAGGGCTTAGTGTACTGTAGTGCTGAGAAGGTAGGAGTCAGGGCTTAGTGTACTATAGTGCTGAGAAGGTAGGAGTCAGGGCTTAGTGTACTGTAGTGCTGAGAAGGTAGGAGTCAGGGTTTAGTGTACTGTAGTGCTGAGAAGGTAGGAGTCAGGGCTTAGTGTACTGTAGTGCTGAGAAGGTAGGAGTCAGGGCTTAGTGTACTGTAGTGCTGGGAAGGTAGGAGTCAGGGTTTAGTGTACTGTAGTGCTGATAAGGTAGGAGTCAGGGCTTAGTGTACTGTAGTGCTGAGAAGGTAGGAGTCAGGGCTTAGTGTACTGTAGTGCTGATAAGGTAGGAATCAGGGCTTAGTGTACTGTAGTGCTGAGAAGGTAGGAGTCAGGGCTTAGTGTACTGTAGTGCGGGCTTAGTGAACTGAAGTGCTGAGAAGGTAGGAATCGAGGCTTAATGTACTGTTCCCTTCGACAAGAACAGTTAATATGATTTGATTTGTCTTAGTAGTCATAAAGCAATTTGGTAACAATGTGCTTGTCTCAATAATCATAAATTAATTTGGTAACAATGTGCAGAACTTTGTTTCACATGACATAAAGAAAGAGATCACTATTGGTTTTACTTATCATAAGCTGTCCCACATTTTATGTTACCAAGGAATGAGACTGAGATGTAAGCCAGTATCTGATGCCAGAGTCTGATAAAGATTATTTTATCTCTAGTAATAATATAACTCATACATGAGGACTAATGTCTGATGAAAGTGATGGCAAAAGACAGTTTGGGGCTAGCTGACAAGTGTAGGGGAATTGTCTTTGACATGAATGTTTATGTATTTATTTCTATTTTATTTTTGAGTCAAGGAGGTTTTGTCGTAGGTACATACCTGTCTGATGTTATTATATATAAAGTGTGACATTGTTGTGGCCTAACCTGCCTGTTTGCTCCCCTCCCAGTGGCAGGTGTCGGCGAGTGCGCTGGAGATCCTGTGTAAGCTGCTGCAGGACCACGAGATCCATGAGGAGGACTTCCGCGAAACTCTGGTGGACATTCAGGGGGGCGGGATTGTCTCCGCCAACAAGCCCCCCGGTCACACGCTGCTACTGCACATGCTCAATGACTCCGGACTTCTCAAGATGGTGAGGCTGTAGAGATGAGATGGGTTGGTGTAGAGTTGCCATTGATGGATCTGATTTGGATTACCAGAAATACATAAACTCGTAGTATTAGAGATGATAGCATCAGAAGCAAGATAGCCTTCAGTATCGCTATAAGGAGTTAAACTACGCCGTAAACAAGGAAGTTTTGTCAATGTAGACGAACGATGATGAGCGATTTCTTTCAATATGTTGAATATTTAAGTTGCCAATCTCATTTTATTAATGAGTGCCCACTGGCATCCAAGCAATAAATACAGATCACAGAATGGAAGGTTAGATAGCAAATGCAACAAAATTGGTCGCAGATTCAGTATGTTGCCTGGGAAGTTGTGAGGGAGTTAGAGGTATCGGAATGGACACCCATGTGTCTTCTCAAGCATGGTGGTCCACGGATCAGAACAAATGACAAGTCAGTGACTGACAGTATTTTACTTTATTACTAACAAACCTCAGTATGTATCAGTGGTAAGTAAGAGCTTGCTTCCATGTATTATTGTACCAGCTCTCAAGACTGCTTACCCTGTGTGTGTGCTTCACAGGTTCTGCGAGTGCTGGATGAGACGGTGTCAATGTTTGAGCAGTACTCCAAAGTACCTGGTAAGAATCATTACCCAGAAAATGTTATATAGGAAGATATGCACCCTAGTTTTGTTATTGTGTGTGTTTCATTACTCTTTCCAGTTTTGAGTAGGGTTTTCCCATTTGTCTCAGGCAATTCACCATTAAGAGTTGTGACCCTTGGGCATGACAGAATCGGATGATCATGGGTACAAGATTGGCCTTGCTTATAATTCTTGGTCTTTTAGTACTATAACCGTGCTTGTGGGTTTCACCAAAGGTGTGAATGTCTAAGTCCTACATCACCATGCACTCTCTTCCCTCATTGTGCTGACACTTTGAAAGAACTGAAGTACTGCTCAAGGTGATATCAACCCACCTCCCTCACTTCAGTTTGCTACCCGTGAAAATCAGGGGTAGAATAGGTCTTCAGCAACCCATGCTTGCCGTAAAAGGAGACTATGCTTGTCGTACGAGGTGACTAATGGAATCTGGTGGTCAGGCTCGCTGACTTGGTTGATGCATGTCATCGATCCCAATTGCATGGATCGGTGCTCATGATGTCAATCACTGGATTGTCTGTTCCAGACTCGATTATTTACAGACCGCCGTCATATCGATGGAATATTGCTGAGTGCGGCGTTAAAAATCAAACAAACAAACAAATAAATAAACAAACAAACTTCTGTTTGCAGTTACAAAAGTCAAATGTCAGACCCCCACCTGCAACATCTCTATGTGTAATGTTGTATTTCCCTGTGCCAGGCTTGGAATACCTAGAAAAGACAGCCCTGCTGTGTTTGAGGATGATAGAGACGTCCCTGGAGAAGGAGGCACAGTTTGAGATGATGATCCGAGAGACTGGGTCGTCCATCATGGTGGCAGCCATGGACAAACTGTTGCTCAGCATCAATCCCCGCAGTGGCAAGGCAGATCATCTGGTTAATGTCGCCAAGTACGTTCACAGTGGATTAATGTTCCCATGCTTACAGAAGATGTTTTCCTTAGTTGTTGTTTATGAATTCTTCACTATAAAATAGATATGTACAAATGACTTGATTACGAAATAACAAGCTAGTTTGGTCCACCAGTTACCCAGTGTGGGATCCTGCAGCTTGTGTTGTGTGCTTCCCAGCTAGTGACTAACCTGTGCAGGGACATGCTTGTGACAGCTGGAAAATGTGAACACAGCTTTTTCCTATTTCCGGCTTAGTTTGCGATACAGCTGCACTCGGTAACCTTTGCATATAAAACAATGCCTAGCATAAATGGAAATACAAATGGTGGTAAATCATTAATCCTAGTGATATGTAATCGGAAATATCTCAATTTCATTGACAAAGTTTTTAATCTCTTGTTCGTTCGGTTGAGGGGATACAACATAGTTTTTGAATGGGCACATGAGCAGTTATACTCAAGTGCGCACTATGCAAAAGAAAATATGATATCCGATTTACAATCCATAATGGGAATAACATGGCTGTCCATGATTTGAGGGATGACTGTACCTACTTTGGGATTAGATTTTGTCTGTGCTGTGTCCCAGTATGTGACTGTAAGGAAGTGGACGCACCAGGTGAAGTATAGGTGATACTGAGGACTGTATCGGGAAGTTACGTCGCAGTGTCAATATAGGATGTATGACAACAGTAATCATAGATTTGCTGTAAATAACATGTAAGAGCGACTCACCCAAGCTTGTGTTACAGGTTTGTGAGCCTGAACAGCTTCCTGCCCCACCAGTGCCTGTCTGCCGTCCGGGTCCTGTACCTGGTGTGTCAGGCCGCGCCCATCCAGGCCGACCTCGTCGCTCTCTTCACTGCAGATGAGGTAACACTCATGGTTAATTAAGTAATGAAAGATCGACTGTCAGTATCAAAATCCATGAGATCCAACCTATTTTCCTACTTTGAATACAAACCATTTTTCTCTATTCTCACATAATGACAATGGCTGTAGGAACATGTGTGTATAAATATAACAAAGACTGCCTGTTAGTACATTTCAGTTGAACTTCCTATAGCCCTAAACCATGTTCACATATTTATTTGCTTTTCACAAATGTAATCCTTGGGATTCTACAAGAATAGGTCCCCAGTTCACCATGCTTGTATTATTAGATGGGGATCAGGTGGTAGAGATGTCAGACTGTGTTTCATGCATCTAGAAGGCAGCTACCATTGCTCATGCTATTATTGACTGGTTTGTCTGGCCCAGACTCCATTTCATAGGCTGCCATGGTATAACTGTAATATTTCTGACTCAGTGTTCAATGAAGATGAGGGGTCCTTGTCATATCCAGTATTAGAAATTGGCGCTAGTCCTATAGTCCTTGCTGAACTGCCAAATAGTTAAAGTATCATAAGGTCTAGTAGAAATTTGTCCTTTTTAAGGGTTTTGCTATATGTTATCATTATAAGGACTAGTGGACTTAAACTGTTAGTTTCTACCGCTGCATATCCATAATGTTGAATGCTCGAGATTGAAGGGGTCACTTCATTCAAATTCAATAGGAACAAACCTTAATAACATTGAACAGCTTGGCACAGTCACTTGTGGCTTGTCTGATGTATGTTGTGTGTGTCTGCAGGCGGAGAGCACGCGTCTGCTGCAGGGGATTGTTGAATGTATCGAGATGGATGACCGGGAGGTGAAGCCTGAAGAGGCGCAGGAGGAGAACGAGGATACAAGTAGGAACTATTTGATTGCCTTTGATCTGTTTTACGTTCCTGTTTTTTTTGTGTGACATGTCAATATTCTTTAAATTGAATAAATTCTTTTGCCTAGACATGCTATAAGCAAATTGAACAGATGTTTATCCACTATATTTTTGATTACGCCAGCTGTTGTTGCATATTGTCTGTTTTCCCTCGGATTGTGATATGCTTTACCAGCTGTTGTTGTATATTGTCTGTTTTCCCTTGGATTATGACATGCTTTACCATGTTTACAGTCTGTCTTCATGCCGAGGACCCCATGCTATTATTTACAACATCAATATTAAAAAGTAAAGTACAGTATGCCTAAACTAACTCCTTATGAATGATTTGGGCTGCTAAGTGATTATTGGCAAAGGTTCATATGTCATATATATATTCTGATATGGCACAGATAGCCTCGGGTCTGAGGCACCTCAACAAGATGGCAGAGTTGCTTCCCTTAGCTGTAGTCACAAGCAAATTCCAGATCTGCCCTGATGGACCACTGTTCATATTCCATCAGTCTCATACTCAACATTTAAGATGATGTAACTTCATGGTGCTATCATTATTCATTTCAATACTGTTTATCAACACTCAACATGTCTGAAACTGCAAATAAGGACACATGAGTTTCACAAGTACCATCAGTGAAAATGAATCCTTATCGGCACTGCCAGTATGGTATTATATCGGAACTTATTTTGTTTCAAGATATGGATAACTCATATATTTACAAAGATCCTCTGGGCTTTGAGTTAACAAGGTTTAATCATGTGTATAGTCCAATAGTTGCATGTGGGTGTGTTTTTTCAGAGGAAGAGATCAGCCTGTCCCAGGTGAGGAATGCATCTCGCCAGCACATCATACAGCTGATGTTGCACGCCCTGGACCAACCATCACCGAATCTTGCCCACTGGATGCTGGGCTTTGAAGTCAGGAAACCTGTGTCTAAAACTAACCTTCAAGATCCTGGTGAGTGGAGCTCAGCTTAACAGTTAATGATTGTATAATGTGAAGGCTTTAAGAGATAAGGGTGTAGCTCCACTCAGCATTGTCCAGAGAACATGGAAGATGTGTGAGTGAAGGTAGTTTTACACAGCAGTCAGCAATATTCGGCTGCACTCAAAGTGTGGCAACATTCCAGGTATATCATGTTGGCTCCACTCAAAGTCCAGGACCACCTCCGTGGTCGAGTGGTAGAGCATCCTCCTGTAGAGTGGAAGGTCCGGGGTTAGATCCCCGGCTGCGTCATACCTAAAGACGTTAAAATATGGTACTCGTTGTTACCCTGCCTGGCACCTAGCATTAAGGGGGCTAAAACAAGGGACTGGTCAGCTAGGAGTCAGTATACTGTGTCTGAGTAGGGTATTCATGTTAAACTGCCGAATGGTATCCCAGTGGGCTAGCACTATAAATCAGTATTAGTAGCATTCAGAGTATGTCAAATGACATCACTACAATTTTGGAAATCAAGTGCAGCATGAAACAGGTAGCCAGCCTGTGACCCCAATAATCCCTTCTGGGAAACAAATGCACAAAATGGACCAGGCCACAAATTGTGACCCAACAATGCTCATTAGGTGTCTCTTGTGAGCAGCAATGGTTGTAGGCAAATATCCGGCCTTGCATCTCCTCGGGGATAGAGTGCAAACAGAACAGTTAGTGGAGGCTCCCTGTAGGTGTCTAGTCCCTGTAAGTTACACTAACTATTGCAAGCTCTGTCAGTATGTTTGATTGCTCGTTGTATTAATGCCACTCAGCAATATTCCAGGTGTAAAACAGCTCATTAGGCCTGACACAAGTATTTGTTTTCCAGGTATTCTTGGGTCTGCACGTACCTGCCTTCATTCTGTGCTGGCATTCCTGGGTCAGGGTGTTGGAGCCCGCAGTGGACCGGTCTGTCTGATGGAGGCGCCGCGCCTGGCCGAACTCGGATACAATCTCATCTACATACTGTGTTCCAACAAAGACACATCAGCGCCAACTCTGAGATATCTTCGAACCACGCACAACTTTCTGTATAACCAGCTGCAGCATCTGCCATTCAGGGAAGAAGAATATGGTGCGTGAATCTTGTCTGGCTTTATCAGTATATTTGCCAACAATATGATACCTAAACTGCAACAGATAATAACTCATTCATCAGCTCTTGTCCTGATTAAGGTCGAATCGTCAGTTGTAAGTGGATGACACCTTGAATGATTGTGACTAATATGTTTGAGTCTTGATGACCTCTTTTCCCAGGTCAACCAGTGATAAGTCACCAGTCCTGGCTGCTCAAGACGATAGCTATCGAGTTGCGAATCACGTCCCTGAATCGTCAGCGCTCACATACTCAACGTCTCCTTCGTCTTCTGCTGGCCGACACTGACGACGAACAGACATATGGTGGGTATAACTGCAGGATGTGTCCTTTTTTCGTAATTTTCGTCCTCAATATTTGATCTGTAGCTCTCATTTAATAGGATTTGATGTGATTTCATGTTGAGGAAACATATTCTTGTAAAACAATGTGTTTAACTTTCAGTCATGCAGCCTGTGGGTACAGATGAGGGAGACTTGTCCACCTGGGACCGGGACCCTAGCTCCTTCCTTGGGGGACAAAACAGGTCACTGGCTGTACAAGGTGAGGGGGAGGGGTCACTGGCTGTACAAGGTGAGGGGGAGGGGTCACTGGCTGACCAAGGTGAGGGGGAGGGGTCACTGGCTGTACAAGGTGAGGGGGAGGGGTCACTGACTGTACAAGGTGAGGGGGTGGGGTCACTGACTGTACAAGGTGAGGGGGAGGGGTCACTGGCTGTACAAGGTGAGGGGAGGGGTCACTGGCTGTACAAGGTGAGGGGGTCACTTGCTGTACAAGGTGAGGGGAGGGGTCGGGGTCACTGGCTGTACAAGGTGAGGGGGAGAGGTCACTGGCTGTACAAGGTGAGGGGGTCACTGGCTGTACAAGGTGAGGGGGAGGGGTCACTGGCTGTACAAGGTGAGGGGGAGGGGTCACTGACTGTACAAGGTGAGGGGGTGGGGTCACTGACTGTACAAGGTGAGGGGGAGGGGTCACTGGCTGTACAAGGTGAGGGGAGGGGTCACTGGCTGTACAAGGTGAGGGGGTCACTTGCTGTACAAGGTGAGGGGAGGGGTCACTTGCTGTACAAGGTGAGGGGGAGGGGTCACTGGCTGTACAAGGTGAGGGGGCGAGGTCACTGGCTGTACAAGGTGAGGGGGTCACTTGCTGTACAAGGTGAGGGGTGGGGTCACTTGCTGTACAAGGTGAGGGGGAGGGGTCACTGGCTGTACAAGGTGAGGGGAGGGGTCACTGGCTGTACAAGGTGAGGGGGTCACTTGCTGTACAAGGTGAGGTGAGGGTCACTGGCTGTACAAGGTGAGGGGGAGGGGTCACTGGCTGTGCAAGGTGAGGGGGAGAGGTCACTGGCTGTACAAGGTGAGGGGGTCACTTGCTGTACAAGGTGAGGGGGAGGGGTCACTGGCTGTGCAAGGTGAGGGGGAGAGGTCACTGGCTGTGCAAGTGTGGGAGTGGGGTCACTGACTACAAGTGAGGGGGTTGGGTCACTGGCTGTGCAAGTGAGGGTGTGGGTCACTGGCTGTGCAAGTGTGGGGTTGAGGTCACTGGCTGTACAAGTGTGGGGGTGGGGTCACTGACTGTACAAGGTGAGGGGGAGGGATCACTGGCTGTAGAATGTGTGGGGAGGGGTTACGGCCAGTACAAGGGGAGGGGTCACTGGCTGTAGAATGTGTGGGGAGGGGTTATGGCCAGTACAAGGGAAGGGAACACTGCTTGTACAATCTCACACTGACACAGTTTAACATCTCCCCTCCAATCTCACCCACAGCCCAGCAGACACGGCGTAAGCTGCTTTGTATCTTGGACTCCATCAGTTTTGCTCAGCAGTTTCCTGTGGGACTACAGCTGGACTTCTTTGACCCGAAGCTGATAGAGCAGGTGATCACAAGCTGTGAGACCAAGACCAAGACGGGGGTGGTGGTGTGTGACGTCCGCAACCTGCGCCGGATCCTCATCAACGAACTCAACAATCAGCAGGGCACCATGATGGCTGGTCAGAGGCCTCTCATTCAAGAGGTAGCTAAATCGACAAATTGATTGTTCTCACACCCTCATGTACCAGTAACAGACCCTAATATATTAAACAATTTTTTTAAAAATTCAGCACCCCATTGTTGCACACTCAAAACTAAAATGTTTCCGTCTGTCTGCTACAGCACCATAATTTGTTTGTGGGTTTCAGCATCGTGGGAAATGTGGCTTGTATCGCTGCAGGCTTTCCTCCCACATTAAGCTGACACACCCTGATATAACTGAAATACTGTTTGCAGTGGTGTTTAACTTAACTCACTCACTCACCTAACCACTCCATGTTGATGTTGCAGGAGATCCAGAACATCCTGAGCACAGTGGTAGCCAGGAACTCTGTGAGGGAAAGTCTGTATGTCAAGCGCCAGTCCTTTGAGGCATGGCGACAGGTGACAGAGGTCCTGTTGACGGCCTGTCCTGAGGATGTGCTCATGGGGGAGGTCAGACAGATGGTCATCTTTGAGGTGCTGCAGGACCTGCTGGTCAAGGTGAGTAGGGACAAGGGGGAACTGGTTGTTAGTGAACATGGTGAATATACCGACCTGAACAGGGATAGAAACCGTCAAGGTGAGTAGGGACAAGGGGGGACTGGTTGTTAGTGAACATTGTGAATATACCGACCTGACCAGGGATAGAAACCGTCAAGGTGAGTAGGGACAAGGGGGGACTGGTTGTTAGTGAACATTGTGAATATACCGACCTGACCAGGGATAGAAACCGTCAAAGTGAGTAGGGACAAGGGGGGACTGGTTGTTAGTGAACATGGTGAATATACCGACCTGAACAGGGAAAGAGACCGTCAAGGTGAGTAGGGACAAGGGGGGACTGTTTGTTAGTGAACATTGTGAATATATCGACCTGACCAGGGATAGAAACCGTCAAAGTGAGTAGGGACAAGGGGGAACTGGTTGTTAGTGAACATGGTGAATATACCGACCTGACCAGGGATAGAAACCGTCAAGGTGAGTAGGGACAAGGGGGGACTGTTTGTTAGTGAACATTGTGAATATATCGACCTGACCAGGGATAGAAACCGTCAAAGTGAGTAGGGACAAGGGGGGACTGTTTGTTAGTGAACATGGTGAATATACCGACCTGAACAGGGAAAGAGACCGTCACAGTGAGTAGGGACAAGGGGGGACTGGTTGTTAGTGAACATGGTGAATATACCGACCTGACCAGGGATAGAAACCGTCAAGGTGAGTAGGGACAAAGGGAAACTAGTCATTGGTGAATATACGGACCTGACCTGACCAGGCATAGAGGCAGTCAAGGTTAGTAGGGCTGAAGGGGAACTAGAGATCGGTGATTACACTGACCTGACCAGGCATAGAGGCAGTCAAGGTTAGTAGGGCTGAAGGGGAACTAGAGATCGGTGATTACACTGACCTGACCAGGCATAGAGGCAGTCAAGGTTAGTAGGGCTGAAGGGGAACTAGAGATCAGTGATTACACTGACCTGACCAGGCATAGAGGCAGTCAAGGTTAGTAGGGCTGAAGGGAAACTAGAGATCGGTGATTACACTGACCTGACGAGGCATAGAGGCAGTAAAGGTGTGTAGGGCTGAAGGGGAACTAGAGATCGGTGATTACACTGACCTGACCAGGCATAGAGGCAGTCAAGGTGTGTAGGGCTGAAGGGGAACTAGAGATCGGTGGTTACACTGACCTGACCAGGCATAGAGGCAGTCAAGGTGTGTAGGGGCGATTGGGAACAAGCCATCGGTGAACACCGTGAATATACTGACCTGACCAGGCATAGAGGCAGTCAAGGTTAGTAGGGCTGAAGGGGAACTAGAGATCGGTGATTACACTGACCTGACCAGGCATAGAGGCAGTCAAGGTTAGTAGGGCTGAAGGGAAACTAGAGATCGGTGATTACACTGACCTGACCAGGCATAGAGGCAGTCAAGGTGTGTAGGGCTGAAGGGGAACTAGAGATCGGTGATTACACTGACCTGACCAGGCATAAAGACAGTCAAGGTGTGTAGGGGCGATTGGGAACAAGCCATCGGTGAACACCGTGAATATACTGACCTGACCAGGCATATGAAAATAGAGCCTATATCCTAGTGTCTGTTATAACAATTTTCTGTCTCACAGCATGTCACCAGTGACAACCTTTACTCCACAGGTGGCTGATGACGAAGCTATGCCTGAATCAACTGGCCCTGTAGCTGGGGTCATTCTCACACTGATGGCCAATCTGCGTCAGTGTTTCTTGTCTGACAGTGCACCCTCCACCTCTGCTGCTGCGAGGAACACAACGCAGTATGTGTCCATGCTGGACCGGTCCGTGTTGCCGTCTGCTGGCAGTGCTGTGGGGTCAAGGACACTCTTCGCCTCCTCCCTGCAGATGGTGCTGAAGGGCGTCCTGGACTACATCCTGCGAGCCGGTGAGCTTCATCTGCATAATGTTGATGTTGTCACCAGATAATTAAGGGGCAAGCCATTGCTATCAATAGCTTTACAGAATTGTGTCCCTTAGCTGCCCTGTGATTCATCAACCTTGGTCTGCCAGCCCCAGCTCCGCTGGTAAACAGATATGACTGGCTTTCCACCTACATTGAGTCCTGTGAAGATCCTCGGTACAATAGGTCTTAAGCAACCCATTCTTACTGTAAAACGCGACTATGCATGTTGTAAAAGGCGACTAAGGGGATCAGGTGGTCAGGCTCGCTGACTTGGTTGAAGCATGTCATCGATCCGATGGATCGATGCTCATGATATCAATCAGTGGATTGTCTGGTCCAGACTTGGTTATTTTCAGGCTGCCGTCTTATAGCTTGAATATTGCTGAGTGCGGCGTAAACAAACAAACCAACCAACCAACGACCTACATAGAGCTGAGAAGCTGTGATGTACGTGAAATAGTGTTCAATGTGGCATTAAACCCAACTCAAAAGTGTTTTGTCCAAGACTTAAACAGCTCAATCTTTGAAAACTGTTTTATATTTGTATGACCACATATTTGAAAGAGTAAGACTTTTTGCCTTATGTAAGGTAAGATTAGTTATATTCCATACTGGATTGATGCTCATGTTGTCGATCACTGGATTGTCTGGTCTAGACGTGATAATTTACAGATCGCCGTGAAATAGCTGGAATATTGCTGAGTGCAGCGTTAAACAACAAACAAACAAACAAACAAATGAAAGGCCACAAGCCCATAGTACAATTCTGTTTTCAGGATAATGTATATATAAGAACACATATTGACATGTACACTGTGTGTCAGGTGGTGGAGCCCAGCGAGTGAGGGCCAACTTGTATGGAGCCCTGCTGTACTACCTACAGATAGCACAGAAACCTGCAGCCGTCCCTCAGCCTAAAGGTAGGTCGTGGCAGAAACACAGTGACTGTTGTACTCCCTTCAGATAGCACTGCAGTCTGTAGCAGTCACTCAATCAAAATGTAGGCGGAAGTAGAAACAGGTTTTGTCGTTACAATAAGCTGTCTGAACAGCTCCAAACACAAACAATACTTTCATTCATATAACATGTTTGCAGGTATTGAGTAAAGAGAAGAGAGTATTCATGTGTCATATATCAGAGAATTATCACCTCTTGTATTGGAGACAACCAGTTTGGTCACTAATGTCGCCAGTGGAAGTTCTTTTCTACTAATACAAGGAACATTAACACAGGTTAAGAATCTGTTTATGTCGACCTCAGGCAAGGAGAGCGAGGGAATGTCTCGAGTTCTGGGCACAAAGGAGACGGAGTATGAGCAGCTGTCTAAAGAGAACCTGTCCACCATCTTGTCGTATGGGGACAGTCTGATGGAGACGGTCTGCCGGGATGCCTGTGATGGACATGATATTGGAAGGGTGAGGAACTTGACCACCAAACTGTAATTGAAAAACAGATCACTTTGAGGCACCATGTGTGAATTTGGGGACAGAAGAGGTGACAGTTGCTATATTTGTTAGGAGAGGGGATCCTTGTGATACATTCCAGGACAGATTCCCACTACCCGATTGACATTGTAAAAGAGTGTTACTTGGTTGATAGGTTGGATTTTTTATTGGAATTTGAATATTTAAACATTATCTTTTTATTGGTGAAATATGCTGCATTTGCAGGTGTAGGCTACAGCTAATGAGTGACATGTCTGTTTGCTGCTGTGCAGGTGTAGCTGATGGGTGATGTTTATGTGTGTTGCTGTAGATGAGGGTGTGGTAGCCATTAAATGGTGCGTGTTGCTTTATGTGTAGGTTGTAGCCAATGGGTGATGTGTGTGTGTTGCTGTAGGTGTAGGTTGTAGCCAGTGAGTGATGTGTGTGTGTTCCTGTAGGTATAGGTTGTAGCCAATGAGTGATGTGTGTGTGTTCCTGTAGGTGTAGGTTGTAGCCATTGAGTGATGTGTGTGTGTTCCTGTAGGTGTAGGTTGTAGCCATTGAGTGATGTGTGTGTGTTCCTGTAGGTGTAGGCTGTAGCCAATGGGTGATGTGTGTGTGTTGCTGTAGGTGTAGGTTGTAGCCAGTGAGTGATGTGTGTGTGTTGCTGTAGGTATAGGTTGTAGCCAATGAGTGATGTGTGTGTGTTCCTGTAGGTGTAGGTTGTAGCCATTGAGTGATGTGTGTGTGTTCCTGTAGGTGTAGGTTGTAGCCAATGGGTGATGTGTGTGTGTTGCTGTTGGTTGTTGCCAATGAGTGATGTGTGTGTTGCTGTTGGTTGTAGCCAATGAGTGATGTGTGTGTGTGTTCCTGTAGGTGTAGGTTGTAGCCAATGGGTGATGTGTGTGTGTTGCTGTTGGTTGTTGCCAATGAGTGATGTGTGTGTTGCTGTTGGTTGTAGCCAATGAGTGATGTGTGTGTGTGTTCCTGTAGGTGTAGGTTGTAGCAAATGAGTGATGTGTGTGTGTTGCTGTAGGTGTAGGTTGTAGCCAGTGAGTGATGTGTGTGTGTTGCTGTAGGTATAGGTTGTAGCCAGTGAGTTATGTGTGTGTTGCTGAAGGTGTAGGTTGTAGCCAATGAGTGATGTGTGTGTGTTGCTGAAGGTGTAGGATGTAGCCAATGAGTTAGTGTGTGTGTTCCTGTAGGTGTAAGTTTTTAGCCAGTGAGTGACGTGTGTGTGTGTGTGTTGCTGTAGGTGTAGGTTGTAGCCAGTGAGTGATGTGTGTGTTCCTGTAGGTGTAGGATGTACCCAATGAGTGATGTGTGTGTGTTGCTGTAGGTGTAGGTTGTAGCAAGTGAGTGATGTGTGTGTGTGTTGCTGTAGGTGTAGGATGTAGCCAGTGAGTGATGTGTGTGTGTTCCTGTAGGTGTAGGATATGGCCAATGAGTGATGTGTGTGTGTGTGTGTATTCCTGTTGGTGTAGGTTGTAGCCAGTGAGTGATATGTGTGTGTCGCTGAAGGTGTAGGTTGTAGCCAATGAGTGATGTGTATGTGTGTTGCTGTTGGTTGTAGCCACTGAGTGATATGTGTGTGTCCCTGTAGGTGTAGGTTGTAGCAAATGAGTGATATGTGTGTGTTGCTGAAGGTGGAGGCTGTAGCCAATGAGTGACGTGTGTGTGTTGCTGCAGGTGTAGGTTGTAGCCAATGAGTTAGTGTGTGTGTTCCTGTAGGTGTAAGTTTTTAGCCAGTGAGTGACGTGTGTGTGTGTGTGTTGCTGTAGGTGTAGGTTGTAGCCAGTGAGTGATGTGTGTGTTCCTGTAGGTGTAGGATGTACCCAATGAGTGATTTGTGTGTGTTGCTGTAGGTGTAGGTTGTAGCAAGTGAGTGATGTGTGTGTGTGTTGCTGTAGGTGTAGGATGTAGCCAGTGAGTGATGTGTGTGTGTTCCTGTAGGTGTAGGATATGGCCAATGAGTGATGTGTGTGTGTGTGTGTATTTCTGTTGGTGTAGGTTGTAGCCAGTGAGTGATATGTGTGTGTCGCTGAAGGTGTAGGTTGTAGCCAATGAGTGATGTGTATGTGTGTTGCTGTTGGTTGTAGCCACTGAGTGATATGTGTGTGTCCCTGTAGGTGTAGGTTGTAGCAAATGAGTGATATGTGTGTGTTGCTGAAGGTGGAGGCTGTAGCCAATGAGTGACGTGTGTGTGTTGCTGCAGGTGTAGGTTGTAGCCAATGAGTTAGTGTGTGTGTTCCTGTAGGTGTAAGTTTTTAGCCAGTGAGTGACGTGTGTGTGTGTGTGTTGCTGTAGGTGTAGGTTGTAGCCAGTGAGTGATGTGTGTGTTCCTGTAGGTGTAGGATGTACCCAATGAGTGATGTGTGTGTGTTGCTGTAGGTGTAGGTTGTAGCAAGTGAGTGATGTGTGTGTGTGTTGCTGTAGGTGTAGGATGTAGCCAGTGAGTGATGTGTGTGTGTTCCTGTAGGTGTAGGATATGGCCAATGAGTGATGTGTGTGTGTGTGTGTATTTCTGTTGGTGTAGGTTGTAGCCAGTGAGTGATATGTGTGTGTCGCTGAAGGTGTAGGTTGTAGCCAATGAGTGATGTGTATGTGTGTTGCTGTTGGTTGTAGCCACTGAGTGATATGTGTGTGTCCCTGTAGGTGTAGGTTGTAGCAAATGAGTGATATGTGTGTGTTGCTGAAGGTGGAGGCTGTAGCCAATGAGTGACGTGTGTGTGTTGCTGCAGGTGTAGGTTGTAGCCAATGAGTTAGTGTGTGTGTTCCTGTAGGTGTAAGTTTTTAGCCAGTGAGTGACGTGTGTGTGTGTGTGTTGCTGTAGGTGTAGGTTGTAGCCAGTGAGTGATGTGTGTGTTCCTGTAGGTGTAGGATGTACCCAATGAGTGATGTGTGTGTGTTGCTGTAGGTGTAGGTTGTAGCAAGTGAGTGATGTGTGTGTGTGTTGCTGTAGGTGTAGGATGTAGCCAGTGAGTGATGTGTGTGTGTTCCTGTAGGTGTAGGATATGGCCAATGAGTGATGTGTGTGTGTGTGTGTATTCCTGTTGGTGTAGGTTGTAGCCAGTGAGTGATATGTGTGTGTCGCTGAAGGTGTAGGTTGTAGCCAATGAGTGATGTGTATGTGTGTTGCTGTTGGTTGTAGCCACTGAGTGATATGTGTGTGTCCCTGTAGGTGTAGGTTGTAGCAAATGAGTGATATGTGTGTGTTGCTGAAGGTGGAGGCTGTAGCCAATGAGTGACGTGTGTATTGCTGAAGGTGTAGGTTGTAGCCAGTGAGTGATGTGTGTGTGTTCCTGTAGGTGTAGTTTGTAGCAAATGAGTGATGTGTGTGTTGCTGCAGGTGTAGGATGTAGCCAGTGAGTGATGTGTGTGTTGCTGAAGGTGTAGGATGTAGCCAGTGAGTGATGTGTGTGTCTGAAGGTGTAGGTTGTAGCCAGTGAGTCATGTGTGTGTTCCTGTAGGTGTAGGATGTAGCCAGTGAGTTATGTGTGTGTGTGCTGTTACAGATGCTGGCCCTCAGTGTGCTGGACACGGTCATGTCTATTGACCACTACCAACAGTGGCTCTCCTTTCTCAGTAAGAAGGGATACCTCCAGCACCTGGTGGACTCATTACTCACAGAGGACGCAGATTTGCAGAAAGTGCTGGCGCCCAGCCCGGAACAGCTGCGATCACTCTACATATACCAGTCCAAGATGGTGAGTGTTTAGAATTTGTTCTAACTGTTTTTGCATAGGACAGATTTATGGTGATATTAGTTCTAACCTTTAAGAGATCTACCAATATAAGTTGTAACATTACCCTGAGGGGTATATGTCGTTAAAATTTGTGTCCCGTGTTAGATTTTATACCAAGAGATGGAGGTGCCAAAATTTGCCGTGTACAATATGGCCATGGTATTTAACCTTTTTCTAACTGATATCATGATGGAATTGCTTTCAGAGCCTACTCACTCGTGTGGGAGAGACACTAGAAGGGGCTCACACGCTGCTGAGATGCGGGATACTTCAGAAGCTGTCAGCCTGTGCCTTCTTCGACCTCCGACCTGAGTCAGAGAGGTAAGCACTATATCACCCCTCATTATGATCACAAACATGGAGGGGAGCGTAGTTGTGTACCCATCAAAAGGGTTTAGACATAGGAGTTGACATCAATTGTTGTAGCTCTGATAACATGGGAGTTGACATCAACTGGTGTAGCCCTGATGAGGTAGGAGTTGCCATCAGCTGTTGTAGCCCTGGTGAGGTAGGAGTTGACATCAACTGTTGTAGCCCTGGGGAGGTAGGAGTTGACATCAACTGTTGTAGCTCTGGTGAGGTACGAGTTGACATCAACTGTTGTAGCCCTGGTGAGGTAGGAGTTGCAAACAGCTGTTGCAGCCCTGGTGAGGTAGGAGTTGCCATCAACTGTTGTAGCCCTGATGAGGTACGAGTTGACATCAATTGTTGTAGCTCTGATAACATGGGAGTTGACATCAACTGTTGTAGCTCTGGTGAGGTACGAGTTGACATCAACTGTTGTAGCCCTGGTGAGGTAGGAGTTGCAAACAGCTGTTGTAGCCCTGGTGAGGTAGGAGTTGACATCAACTGTTGTAGCCCTGATGAGGTACGAGTTGACATCAATTGTTGTAGCTCTGATAACATGGGAGTTGACATCAACTGGTGTAGCCCTGGTGAGGTAGGAGTTGCCATCAGCTGCTGTAGCCCTGGTGAGGTAGGAGTTGGCATTAAATGTTGTAGCACTAGTGAGGTGGGAGTTGGCATCAACTGTTGTAGCCCTGGTGAGGTAGGAGTTGACATCAGCTGTTGTAGCCCTGATGAGGTACGAGTTGACATCAACTGTTGTAGCCCTGATGAGGTATGAGTTGACATCAACTGTTGTAGCCCTGGTGAGGTTGGAGTTGACATCAACTGTTGTAGCCCTGGTGAGGTAGGAGTTGACATCAACTGTTGTAGCCCTGATGAGGTTGGAGTTGACATCAACTGTTGTAGCCCTGATGAGGTACGAGTTGACATCAACTGTTGTAGCCCTGATGAGGTACGAGTTGACATCAACTGTTGTAGCCCGGGTGAGGTTGGAGTTGACATCAACTGTTGTAGCCCTGATGAGGTTGGAGTTGACATCAACTGTTGTAGCCCTGATCAGGATGGAGTTGACATCAACTGTTGTAGCCCTGGTGAGGTACGAGTTGACATCAACTGTTGTAGCTCTGATCAGGATGGAGTTACCATCAACTGTTGTAGCCCTGATGAGGTGGGAGTTGGCATCAACTGTTGTAGCCCTGTTGAGGTAGGAGTTGACATCAGCTGTTGTAGCCCTGATGAGGTACGAGTTGACATCAACTGTTGTAGCCCTGATGAGGTACGAGTTGACATCAACTGTTGTAGCCCGGGTGAGGTTGGAGTTGACATCAACTGTTGTAGCCCTGATGAGGTACGAGTTGAAATCAACTGTTGTAGCCCTGATGAGGTAGGAGTTGACATCAACTGTTGTAGCCCTGGTGAGGGTGGAGTTGGCATCAACTGGTGTAGCCCTGGTGAGGTAGGAGTTGCCATCAGCTGTTGTAGCCCTGGTGAGGTAGGAGTTGCCATCAACTGTTGTAGCCCTGATGAGGTGGGACTTGACATCAACTGTTGTAGCTCTGATCAGGATGGAGTTACCATCAACTGTTGTAGCCCTGATGAGGTGGGAGTTGACATCAACTGTTGTAGCCCTGATGAGGTGGGAGTTGCCATCAACTGTTGTAGCCCTGATGAGGTAGGAGTTGACATCAACTGTTGTAGCCCTGATGAGGTTGGAGTTGACATCAACTGTTGTAGCCCTGATGAGGTTGGAGTTGACATCAACTGTTGTAGCCCTGATCAGGATGGAGTTGACATCAACTGTTGTAGCCCTGATGAAGTGGGACTTGACATCAAATGTTGTAGCCCTAATGAGGTGGGAGTGAACATCAGCTGTTGACATCCTCTTTGTTTGTTGTACCCTGATTGATCTTCGCGTTGACATAGACTGTTTCTCTTGTAGCCCAGAGAAGGAGTTGATAGAGGATATGTCTGGAGATGAGTTTATCCCAAGTCCGATGGCGAGGTATCGCATCCTGCTGTTTGCGGCCCTCAACCTGTGTCTGGCTATTCTCACATCCCTCGGGCTGGAGAACAAGGATGTGGCAGCTCAGGTAGGTCAGAATAATGTGTTTCCTTGTTCATCTCAGGAAGATCGCAACAACATAGCTCCTTCTTCAGCTCAGGTAAATCACAACGACATAGATCTTTGTCAGCTCAGATAAACCATAACAACATGGATCTTTCTCAGCTCAGGTAGATCAAAACAACATAGATCCTTGTCAGCTCAGGTAAATCACGACATAGATCTTTGTCAGCTCATGTAAACCGTAAAAACATGGATCTTTGTCAGCTCAGGTAGATCACAACAACATAGATCCTTGTCAGCTCAGGTAAATCTCAACAACATTGATCTTTGTCAGCTCAGGTAAATCACAACAAAATGGATCCTTGTTCAGCTCAGGTAGATCACAACAAAATGGATCCATGTCAGCTCAGGTAAATCAAACAACATGGATCCTTGTTCAGCTCAGGTAAACCATAACAACATGGATCCTTGTCAGCACAGGTAAATCACAACAACATTGATCTTTGTCAGCTCAGGTAAATCACAACAACATAGATCCTTGTCAGCTCAGGTAGATCACAACATGGATCCTTGTTCAGCTCAGGTAGATCACAACATCATGGATCCTTGTTCAGCTCAGGTAGATCACAACAACATGGATCCTTGTTCAGCTCAGGTAGATCACAACAACATGGATGTTTATTCAGCTCAGGTAGGTTACAACAGCCAGGGAAGGACACTAAAACAGACATTGTTTTATTTACAGCTTTCAGATATCAGACATGTTGGTGTATTTCAAATTTCTTCATGCCAGACCAGAGCTCTAGATAAGCTTTTGGTTATTTGGGTATACACCCAGGGGTTTGATTGTGATTGGATATCCACAATTTTTAGAGGGTATTCAATTTTTTTAACCACCTGTTTCTTGACATTTGGGTATTTTAACTTGATAACCTGGGCCCTGTTCCACAAAGCGATCTTAGCGCTACGACTATCGTAAGCCAGTGTTAAAGTATGGGAGTTACGATCACCTTAGCACTAAGATGACTAAGATCCCTGTAAATCATGTAAAACTGAATGAATAGTAGTATACAATTCTTATTCTTGCGTCTCCCTCTCTGAGAAGCCATTTTTGTTTGATCTAGCATTGTAAGAAGGGTGCAATTTTTGTAATCACCAATCAGCGACTGTTTAAGATACACTTAAGGAAATATTGAATTCTGCAAGTATTTTGTTTCAACAGAAGGTTAATAAACCTGGTTTGCAAATTTTTTTGCATGTGATATGAATACCATATATGTAAACTGTGGATGACATCTACTCTTGCAGGTGATGTTGTTCATCATCTCCCACAGCGACGTCTTCAACACCATCGTACGCAGCAGGAAGCCCCTCCTGAGTCTGTCTACCATGCGAGAGCTGGCTCTCACCACCTGTGTCATCTCCAGGGCCAATTTCCACAGTGAGTCACATGGTTGTAGGGAGGAACTGTTTCCACAGTGAGTCACAATGTTGTAGGGAGGAACTGTTTCCACAGTGAGTCACATGGTTGTAGGGAGGAACTGTTTCCACAGTGAGTCACAATGTTGTAGGGAGGAACTGTTTCCACAGTGAGTCACAATGTTGTAGGGAGGAACTGTTTCCACAGTGAGTCACAGTGTTGTAGGGAGGAACTGTTTCCACAGTGAGTCACATGGTTGTAGGGAGGAAGTGTTTCCACAGTGAGTCACATGGTTGTAGGGAGGAACTGTTTCCACAGTGAGTCACATGGTTGTAGGGAGGAACTGTTTCCACAGTGTGTCACATGGTTGAAGGGAGGAACTGTTTCTAAGGTGAACAGATGCTTTTGGATGACTTAACCATGTTAAAAGTTACCAAGTTGGAATAGATGATTACATGGTCAGTCTAACTAATTCATCTCCCTGAATTCTGGGCAGAAATGCTCCCCAGTACCCTGTATAGTTGTAAGATGGAACAGGATTCCCACAGTATGTTGATAGTACTTGGACGGGTTGCCAGCCAACAAAACATTTCTTAAATGTTCAGGTATAATAGGTCCCCAGCACTTCATTCTGGTTGTGAGTTTGTCAAGAATAGAAACACTTCATAAGTAGTTATTGGAAGGGTTGCCAACAACAAAACACTTTTGATTGGTGAATCTTTCTAATTATTCCCTATGAGTTTTGGATTTAACAGGCACCGGTACCCATGATTGTTAGATGGACCAAATAGCTACAGTGTACCTAGCAGTGACGACTAGCCAGCTAGCCAGCATGCCATGTGTGCTGTCTGATTGTGTAAGCCACTGAACTCCATGAAGTGTCTCTTCCCTTACAGCTGACCTGGGTTCGGAGTACCTGGACAGCGAGACAGCTCTGATCGAGTTCCGCGGACACCGCTCCTGCATCCAGAGACAGATGCTGTCTCTCCTGTCTCACTACAGCTTCTCTCCACGCTTCAGCAAGCAGCTGACCAACCTCAGCAGCCAGACATATCAAGGGGGCCAGGGCATCGCAGCCAAGGTGTCGCTAGCATACCAGGAGGTCACGGCTAATGTGGTGGCCTACTGCCGCTCCCTTCTCACAGAGTCGGGTGAGTTGGGAGTCTTGTTTGACCAACATTTGAGAACTTTTGAAAATGAGGAGTAAACTTGAGCGTCAATTTGTATAAAGTTTTATCATTTATCAGCAAAGGAAGTCTTTCCAAAAGTCGTACAAAAACATTGCTTAACAAACTAACCCAATTTTACTTTTTGAAGAGAGCTGTAAGTACAAATCAAAACATGTTATCTGATTTACAGATTGTTTGCTGGTTCTGATTATTTGTTTTTCCCTTCCCAAATTATACAACAGTGTGATTATGTTTACAGTATTTTTCAGATAACATTTAAAATACTCCCATCTACATTATCTAAGATAAGACCGAGTAATGTAAACACTTTTGTTGATTATGTGCAGGGCCCACAACTCAGTACAGCCGGATCCTGTTCAGCCCTGGTCTGGAGGAAGGAAATGCTCGGGACCTACAGGACGCAGATGGTGAGATGATAGTAGGGAATCATAGTAACGCAGCCCACACGGGTTCTGGAACCTGAATATGTCCACTATTGTATAGCAGACTGTACCATAGCATTTCATATATGTTCATCTAAGATACATAGTGAGTGAGTTTGATTTTACTCCGCTTTTAGCAATATTTCAGCAATATCACAGCAGGGGACACCAGAAACAGGCTTCACACATTGTATCCATGTCGGGAATCGAACCCCGGTTTTCAGTGTGACGAGCGAACGGTTTAACCAGTAGGCTACCCAACTGCCTCCATAAGATACATAGACATAGTTAACCCGGTTATATATAGAGGATGGGGACAGCATTTTATCAGGATATTAAAGGTACATTTCCCCTTGCCATGTCATTCTAACAAATGTTCCTTTCTATCCCGATAATGTACTGTCATGAGTCCTCTATCTGTCTTAGTACACACACAAAAACTAGAGTTCCACGAATAGCATATCAGCATACTTTTCACTTTCCATTCAATGCCCACAAACCCACAGTGTTTGTGTAACTCTTATTGTACATACAGCTCAAGCAGCACTGATGTATAGTGTAGAGTTGGAGTACATTTTCGGGACATATTTATACTACATGTGACCCAGATGACAAACGTCAATTGGACTAGAGCCTTAAGCTGTGATCTAATTGCCCTAAATGCTTCCAGTTAATTCACTCATTAATGCCCTTTCACAACTGAAGTTTACAGTTTTGGCATGCAGTGTTGCGTCCCTTAGCTCGGCAAGGATCCGTTGGTTATTAGTTGGAATCCTGTGTTCGCCCTGATTATGATCCTTGATTTGACAGCATTTACTCTTTTGTCTCACCAAAGTTGTTAAACATCTGTGACCTCAGTCACTTCCCTCCTCATTAAGTTGGTGTGCTATGATGAGACTCAAATACTGTTCAAAGCAGCATTGAACCCTTCTCACTTCTGATGTCCTGGTATTTTAAGACATTTTTGCTAAATGCTGGCCATGTGTTTCCGTGTTCAGAGTTCTCCATATCCAGTTTTGGCGGGAGCCAGAGCCTGAGCCTGGGGGTGATAGTGTATCTGCTGAAGCAGTGTGCGGGACAGTTCCTGGTGGTGTACGACAGTCACAGGCAGCACGCCCAGAAACTCAAACATCTACAGGACCTCAGCTCCGAGGACCTCAAACAGGTCAGGACGGTCTCGGTTCAGATAAAACACTTCTTGTTGTTTCTGTGGAGAAGCAGGGTTCCTTTGCCTCCACATTTTACCCTCTTGCATATAATGGAGCAATAGTATTGCCAATAATGGGGCCTTTAATAGTCATTTAGTAAGTAGAAAAATAAGACACCAAACCTTCTGTGTTTCTGGATGTTAGGAGTATGGGTGACTATGTGCTTTATGGTTGCACCATTTGCCATAAAAAGTTGAGTCCCTTAGTGGCATCAGTATAGGCTGGTTTGAGTTTGAATCCCACCTTCGCATGGACTTTCCCAAAGAACTCTCATTTTGGGGTTTACAATGAGGGGAAATGAGTAAAACACAAAAAATTTATGACAGCTTTTTGTAAGAGATGGTGAATGATATATATACAAATCTTTATTCTAACAAAAGACAATCTTACTTCCGTGATGGCATGACCTATGAGTTGTTTTTCATTCAGTAGTAGCAGTACTAATCTGGAAGGTTTTTTTGGACAATGAATTTTAGACCAAGGTTTTGTAAATCAACCAAAAAAAATGGTGAAAGGCCTCACGATGTGTCTTCCCTAAGTTGAGTGAGTTGTTGTCATGTTTCAGTTTTCGGGTGCGAGTGGGACGGAGAAGATGTCTTCCCAGCAGCGCCATGAGCTGGCCCGCAGTAGATTGACGGACATCATCACACAGAAGGCCAAGGAGTTGCAGCACCATGCGTGTATCCTTCATGTGTAGCGAACAGGTTTAGTGATATTTAATGTTTAATCAAGATCACATGAACCAATCAGATCTCATCATTCTGACATGGAGGTATGATAAAGGTTATGGAAATAATTTCATTTGATGGCAGATGACCCATTGGTTTGTGCAACGATTTATGTCAGAGCATCGTCAATATTTCCTTAACGTGCAAGATGTTGTAGAGAATTGTCTGTTCATCATCTGGCGTCACCTGGAATACTACCTGCTACACTGCATCCCAGTGGACCAGCAACCTCTAGCCTACCAGGCACACATGCGTCGACACAACCAGATACGTAGACTTCAGGGTAAGTGCATTGTGAGAGGCGATTAAAGTCAGGTCAGGATCGGCAACTTATGACATTATTCAGTGTTTGAATCCATTTATTTACAGTTGGCTGGGATATATGAATAGGAGAAACCACGCCTCCAAGGTTTTTGTTGAAAATAAAAACCTGAAGAGGAGGGAAGAGCCCAAGGGCCGAATGCCCAGGAGCTATTCCGACCTCGAATGTTTACATTTTCAACCAACGCCGCGGAGTAATGTTTTCCCTGGCTTATAAACCGTTGAGACAACAATTATTAATACTTGTTTAATATCATGTATGAAAAGTATGGTATGACAGTCTAATGAAACACTCATAAAATATCTGGCCAGGAGACATATGCTTAACATGGAACCTCCTAATGAGCCACTATCTTCAACTAGGTCCGTGGTCTGATGGTTAGACTGCTAACTACTATCAGGAGGTTGTGGGTTTCATTCCTGTCATCCATAATGAAAGTTTCAATTCTTGTCTTATATTGGACTTTTGAAACAAACTTTATCTGCTAGTCAACTCATCAGACTTTACTAAGAAAAAGGAAAACCTCATACCCGGTCTTACAAAGAAAAGTAAGGCCTCCGGAGAGGTTATTATGGAAAAACAAGTATCATCCAAAACAATGGTCATTGTCTCAGATAGGTTTGTAAAGCTTGAATGAAGTTGAATTTCCTTTAAAAACAACTAAAAATACTTGTTTGAGTTGAAATGTTGGCATGTTTCTCCCCAGACCTGACTGGTGTCCGTGGTGTCCCTCCTGCAGAACCTGAGATCATGATCAAACCGGAGTACGAACAACTTTCTCACGGTGTCACCAGAGATGACCTTGACCTTCTCAAGCAAACAGCGCCCTCTGTCATCAGCGAGTCACTGCTGAAGAAAGTGCAAGAGATAAACCAGGTATGGTGTGGAATGTTTTCTTCTCATTTTGTATCTTTGCAAATGAAAAAAGTTGTTCTGACTACTTTAAGCAAGAGCAGCGCTCTGGTTATTTGTGGCCTTTATTTGAAAACTAAATTTATTAGGAATTTTGTTTGTAATAGTATTCTTAATACTTGACTCTTACTTGATTATTACAGTGCTATGTGAAAGATCGCAGTCACTACAGTTTCACAGAGGCAGTGATACGAAGAATCAAACGTCTGCTTCGACTCCATACTGGCAGCTGAAACTGCTGCAACAGAGAGATCACTGTTACTCTCCTTTCATGTGGATCTTCACAAAACTGACTTTGACAGGCTTCTAAAAAAATGACTTGTGTGAATATCTAAAGTAAGGAACTGGTGGAACTTGGATTGTAATAAATAAAGAAGATTGCTGTCATGACATCATGTCCGAGGACCAGTGGATGCAAACCTTACTTCACTGTCTCCAGAGAACCAGGGTGTACAGTACGGACTGAAGACCACCAAGTCGACCAACATCATCTGCATGCTCACCAATCATAAAAGGGACCATTGCCTTTCATGCCGTGGTTATCGGCAAGTGTTAGGATGGGTTCTTCTAATTGTCATTGTGGAAAACTATTGTGGACATACTGTGTGATGTAATGACATGTTTTTGCTGTACCAATGTGCAATACAGAACACCTGCAGGGGATGCATGGTGTTGAGATCCAGCATGAGTCTGTGTATGGTCATCTTCCTGAGGCAAGGGAATTAACTGACTAAAAGTCCAGTTTCCATCCTTGCCGAACTTGGCTGAAATTTCTGGGCTCGATCGGAGCGCCACCAGTGGCTATTACAAGTTATGTCTTTTCTATGCCCCTCCCATTGACCAATCAGATTCCACCTCTCATATCACTTACATTGGCTTAAGACAAAATGGCGGCGCCCAGTCAAGTCAAATCGATAATCGAAATGTATATTGTAATAAAACAGGTCTTACTTTGCGAAGTGCATCAAATCACGTGAACACCTTGATTAAAAACATGAAATGATTGGAAAATGTCTGTTGACACTGAGTTATCAGTACACATGCTTTGCACATCCTGCAAGCGACCAAATTCTGTATTGCAGTTTATCAACCTGATGTCGATTTTGTTCCGCGATTTTGATTGGACTATGCAAAGACTCGTTAGCCCAGCCAAAATGTAATTCCATGATGTCAGCCTAGGTCGGCAAGGGTGGAAACTGGACTTAGTCAGTTAACTCCCTTGCCTCAAGAAGACTGTGTGCTTATATGTACAGTTGTGAAGTTCCATGCAGGAATAATGTGCGCTTATTCAAGAGTCAAAGTATCATGTTTGAACAGTTTTGCTAGTTTAAGGTTTAAAATACAGAATATATCAGCTCACTACACTCTAGCATTAAACATATATTGGTATTTTCCAATTGGCAACCTAAGGTATATTATGGATCACACGTTCCACAAATTGCAGGGAAAATTTATTTCAATCAAGTTTTAATCTGTAGAAAACGTCATGACTGTAAATGTGTGTATGACCTGCAGGAAAATGCAAATGAAACAAAAATGAAAGACTGACCTGCTTGACACAGCAAGTGTTACAATGTACAGAATTATGTTGATAATTGTTCTATGTGATTATAAGAATGTTTGGGCATTGTAAATATCAAAATAAAAATGTCTAAATGTACAAATATTGTTTTCCATGTTTTATGGACATCCACATCATGAAAACAGGCTACAAATTTGGAGCAGAATAGTTATTGGTACTTCAGCCTTGTCATGACTGAATGAGTTTGATCATAATCAGTATGATTATGGCCCTGTCGGGATTCCATGTCAGACTAGGTCCCAGCAATCTGTGCTTGTACTAAGTGGATTGGGTGGTTGTGGCCCTGTCATGATTCCATGTCAGACTAGGTCCCAGCAACCTGTGCTTGCACTTAGTGGATTGGGTGGTTGTGGCCCTGTAGGGTTCCATGTCAGACTAGGTCCTAGCAACCTGTGCTTGTACAAGTGGATTGGGTGGTTGTGGCCCTGTAGGGATTCTATGTCAGACTAGGTCCTAGCAACCTGTGCTTGCACTTAGTGGATTGGGTGGTTGTGGCCTCGTAGGGATTCCATGTCAGACTAGGTCCCAGCAACCTGTGCTTGTACAAGTGGATTGGGTAGTTGTGGCCCTGTAGGGATTCCATGTGAGACTAGGTCCTAGCAACCTGTGCTTGCACTTAGTGGATTGGGTGGTTGTGGCCCTGTCTTGATTCCATGTCAGACTAGGTCCCAGCAACCTGTGCTTGTACAAGTGGATTGGGTTGTTGTGGCCCTGTAGGGATTCCATGTCAGACTAGGTCCCAGCAACCTGTGCTTGTACAAGTGGATTGGGTGGTTGTGGCCCTGTAGGGATTCCATGTCAGACTAGGTCCTAGCAACCTATGCTTGTACTTAGCCTTAAACATTAATAGAAGGAATTGGGGATTTGAATCACCAACAATCAGCAGGTCGTGGCACACCTAAGGGAAGCAACTCTGAACAAATTCCTGGATGAGATGAGTTGGTTAACCCTTTACCTGGTTATGAAGAGGAAAACATGTAATGAGAAGGTTATTAATACTCAGGGTGTCAACCCCCACCCTTTAGGTGTCCGGCATGCCATGAATTTGCCTTGGTATCAAAGTTTAAGAATGACATCAATGTACGCAACTGGTACAAATAAATTTGACAGGGATTTTCACACGTCATGCATGACCTTGCATGCCCATAAACTTATTTGCAAGGACAAATAGATGCAAAATAAATAAAAACACTTTGAAATATAAGTATACCAGATAAACATTTTGTGGCACCCTCAATACTGTGTGCATGTATGCACCGATGAATGTCTTGTCAAGTAAGGGAGCATGCGTGAATGAATAAGTTTCCAATGGTCTGCTTACTGAATGTTAGTGTTTATTGTGTCAGTATAGAGACATTGTGGTGCAAGCTTAAACTATGTGAATCGTTATGTATTAAACTACAAGCTGAGTTGGAATTTGCATGGAGCGTGATAATCCTGTTGTACAGTAAGAGCTTCATGCCTCGACTAGACAAATGCTGACAAGCACTGAATGGGTTGACTTTATGTCAAATCCAAACCTACCCATAGATAGTAGGCCATTTCTACTCAGATAGTAAACCCATTGTACTTCAAGAACTGAATACAGCTGCTATGGGTCAAACCGTCTTTACCCAGAATTTCCCTGAGTTGAACCTTTGTTCACAAGAACCAAAGTGTTTAGTTAACCCTTTGTTGTCTGTACATAATGAACCGAATGCATTCAATATTAGTTAACCCTGTATGCACTGGGTACATCAACTACTATAAGATGTAGCTGTGCCCCAAACAGAGAAATATGCATTCACAGCTTCACCAAAAAAACGTTTATTCTCATGAATCCTCTACCTCTATTACAGGGGTGGTTATGTAGCCTAGTGGTTAAAGCGTTCGCTTGTCACACCAAAGACACGGGTTCGATTCCCAACATGGGTACAATGTGTTGAGCCCATTTTTTGGTGTCCCCCACCGTGATATTGCTGGAATATTGCTAATAGCAGTGAAATTCATACTCACTCACCTCTATTACATCATTGCCAAATTCCTGTATTTTAGCTGCAATCACACTGTAACTATATCTTCAGATTTTCAACAGAAGTCCTCTTCACTGTCAACTTCACAAGTTTTTGTCACCAGATGACACCAATCAGCTTGCAAGGAGAGAAAATCCTCACTTCTTTCCTGTGTGTGCTGGAGTGAACATCAACTTTACAATCTCGTTTCTCTGGCACTTGGGTTGTGTCGTCACCCAAAAGCTAGCTGTATTCAGTTATTAGTTGTATTACGTTGTTTCAACTAATTAAGGAGTCTTCTTAGTGGTTAATTGGCTGATTCTCACGTAAGTGTAAACTTATGTTTGTGAGTCTGTTCCCCAGTCGACATGGCGTCCTCGGCCTCTTGCTCAATTTGCAAATCAACTGGGCATTTCATGTTTATTGGAGACACACAACACGCTTCCTGCTCGAACTGACGTACGTCCTTTATCTAAAAGACAAGCATTGTGAGATTTGCGCCTACCACTCAGTGTTGGTTTGTAACATAATGACAGAATCCACCTAAAAAGCCAAGAGGAAGGAAGAGGCTTGGAAAACTGTCAGTCATCCTGCCTCCACCACTTCCTCTGCACCTGTACTGTCTCCTAAACCTAACATTTATGCTGGTGATGGAATCTTTGTTTGATGTGGAGGTGGAGCAGCTGAAGCATCATCATATGGAACAGGCTAAGAAGCATTCCCCGGCCAAAAGGGGGCATGGGGGACAGACGCAAGGGCAGCCCAACATGTCCGTCACCAAGGCCGTACGGCCGTCTGAGAGGGCATCTGTTTCACAGTCAACCGTATAGGTCGGTTTTCGCTTCGGGCATCAGGCGGGATACAGTTCTCATAGTTGACAACCTAGTTAATGTCTTGAAGAACAAGTTTACCATCTGGGCTCTGTTAGCCTAAGCAGGAGATCACCGACTCCATGGACTTTGTTCATTCTGGAATCCTGGTCACCGTCGGACGAGGACATGCTCGGAGACCACTGACACCCCATGATGAGTGAGTGAGTGAGTGAGTTGGGTTTAACGCCGCTTTTAACAGTATTCCAGTTATATCACGGCGTGTCAGCTTAATCATGATGACTACGGATACCTAGGGTCATGCTACTTCACTGCTGGGTGTTAACTGGTCTCTTCTCCAAATACGAAAATCACGTTACCATCAGCACAATTGAAGGATTTGGTAGCAGCAAACAAGTACTCTATGGACACTGGAGCATACGTTAACTGGTTTGTTGCTGGAATTCCTATGAAGAATTACTTGAGACACATCATTTCCTAATAGAATGGGCCAAGTTGGACTAATGCCTGCTAGATACCATTGTCCGTATGCTGGAGGAACTTATCTCTACTCAGACAGGGATGTCTTCCCAGCTATTGTGGACACAGCGACAACAGTTATTATCCCCATTATGTTCTAGAGAATCTTCAGATCATGACAAGAGAATGGTTTTGTCTCATCCCATAACAGTTCCCAAGATATTTAACGAGAAGCTATGTATGATTCTTTGCCTTGGCAGACTCCATCTGCTGCTGGATAGAAGCGAGACATATTCCCTGGAAATTGAACATCTTAGCAAATAGTCTTTCCCACCGTGGAAGAATAGTGGCAACAGAGTGGTCACTTCATTCTTCATGGATAACATCGGTATGGGACACACCACATCTGGATATCTGTGCCTCAATCACAACCTTCAAGTCTATGTCAGTCTTGGAGAACATCTTCATCCCTCATTTATGACAACTGATGGAACACGTTCGTCCAGTGGAAACAACGACAAGGTCTGGGAGATAGAACTGTAACTATTTTCATGGTGGCCGACTTTTTATTACTTCTACGCTCGCAGCGACATAAAATAGAAGGATACAGATCAGCTCCACACTGATCATTTTGATGGATTACCTGTCGGATATCATCACACCATAAATAAACTCATGCGATCTTTTCCTATGATGTAAGATCACCCTGGATCTTTCCTAAATGGAATCTATCAGCAGTTCTAGCAGGCCTTCTCACATAATTGTTTGATCCTTTGGCCCAAGCTACATTAAATAAGGATAGAAAGAAATACATGTACTGCATTCTTTCTTGCTACTGCCACAGCGTCTCGAGTCTCGGAACTCACGAGACTGTTCAACTCTTATTCATGCCGAGGATTGGAGCACTGTTACCGTGAGCCCGTTCCTGGACTGTGTTGCCAATCAGAAGTCCACATACTGCGGACCACTGGATCACAGACACTACACTATCCCTGCATTAGCCCAAACAGCTGATCTTCCAGACCATCTCCTTTGTCCTATTCGTGCATTCAGGTATCTAAAGGCTACAGAACCACACAGGGGACACAGGAAATGACTTTTCATCTCCTGCAAGACTTTCTCTGATGAAGACATAACCATCAGCAGTTTCAGAAGGTGAAGATCCGGGTTAGAATAGATCTTCGGCAACCCATGCTTGCCATAAAAAGCGACTGTGCTTGTAAGAGTTAACAGGGTCGGGTGGTCGGGCTGGCTGACTTGGTTGATGCATGTCATTGTCGATGCATGTCATTGTCATTGACGTGACATCACAGTCGGAAGTGACAATGTGATCAGAAGAGATGTCGCAAAGCTGACATCCCCTATGATATAACTGGAATACTGTTCAAAGCGGTGTTCACACAAACTCAAGCACGTAAGATAACTGAGTTTAACTGAGTTGCTGACAATATGGCCTTACTGATTGGTCAGTCTCCGATCTGTGTACAGTACCTGTTCACTTGACAAGTTAGACCAGCATAGCTTAGTGCTGGTGTAGAATGTATTGGATTTGTATTGAGATTTTTCAGCTACAGCTACAAAACCAGATATTTTTTCATTTTAAACTATAAGCCTGTTTTTTTTAAAGAAAAACAAACAAACACACACTCTGCATCAACGTAATTTTTGTGGCAGGTAATTTCTTCTTTTTTAAGTCTGAAGCATAATTTCTTTATCCGACAAAATCCCAGCAGGTCCGTTATCCTGAAATGGGGAAATTTACCTTTTCATTTTGTGTACCATTGGGAGTGGAAGAGTTCAATTTCATGTAAGATGGAGATATCGATAATGCGAAAAAACATGATTTGCACGTGCATGTACAGTGTCTGCGCTTATTAAACGTGGAGTAAAGAAGTGAGAAGTTTAACAGTATACCGAGTAACCCTGCTGTCGCCCTCCATTCTTTGCTGTCACTCTCTAATTTAAATGTGTTTAGTTGACACAGATACTACCAAAGAACAGTTAAAGATCAATATCACTTTCCCTCGCGAACGAAGTATCATTGTTGTATCATTTTCGATAAACAATTCCACCACGATATATTACAGCCAGACAGCGTACAATGTCCCAGTGAATTTCTGGCTTACATTACCGCTAGACTGTCGTAAAACTGGTTCTGCCAGTACATAGCGCAAAGCCTGTGCAACTTCCCTCAGCCACACATCTGTAGTGTGACCTTCGACCTGCCCTCACGGCGGTATTGGAGTTAAAGCGTGTCGTGTGTACCTGGGGCCAGGCACATCGCACAACGCTTGACGGAAGCAAGTCAGTATGGCGAGCAGGGAGATCTACTTTTGCGTTTTGCTCGCGTTCGCAGGTGAGTGTATTTATGACCTTCTAAGACCATAGGGTAATTTGTTGATATGTTGTAATCAATTGCAGTCAAAAAAAGGATACTTTTTCTGGTTACACATATTTAATACAATGCCATCGGCAGTTTGATTTTTTCCCTCTTTCGTACGAATTGGCCTCTGCTGCAAATAATTATTATCCTGTGGCAGTGTTCAACATTTTACTGTATTCCAGAAAAAAATGCAAGGAAGCACTTTGCCTGGAAAGGGAATGACTGCTGTGTTAGCTTATGTGCTATTATATCGTTGAAATTTATATTGTTGTGTCAATAATATGGCGTTTAACAAGTTCAACAGCTGTTTTTGAATTTGATGTTTTAATGAAACGTTTGCTGGTGATTATCTCTTTCACGTATGAGCGTGTATGTGATTTGTTGTTTGTTATACCATGGTGGATATTCAATACCTTTGGCTGCTTTGGCTATGGACGGTGTGGCATACCCCCACACAAACAGATTGTTTTGAAACGGTCTGTACGCCAAGGCACCTGCATGACACTGTATAAACAGGCGACAGTATTCCAATATTGCACATGTATCACTACACTATATGCATTGGCGGTGTTGGTGAAGGTTAACCTACCACATGATATAGATAATATTCATGTCATACAAATATAAAAGACAATGGAATTCCCCAAATGAATTAAAAACAAGATTAGTGGATATGCAACAGTTTTACTAAATACGTGTCCGAACAACCAAACACCAGGAAGGACCAGGAATGTACCGTGTTTGTCTTACACCGTGGCCAATCACAACACAAGGAATATGACAGCCTGGGTGTTATACAACAGGTTCAAGGTCGTTTCTCAACCCTTCGGTAACCGAGTGTTTGAGTGGATTCGGTTTGGCACCGCTTGACATTAACGTGTCCAGAGACACTATACACGCCTTGACACACTGTACCAATGACGATCCAAAACTTTATCAACTTGGCAAGCCCATCTTCCACATGCATAGATCGGGCTGTCGGGTAGCCCAGTGGTTAAAGCGTTCACTCGTCATGCCGAAGACCCGAGTTCGATTCCTCACATTGGTACAATATGTGAAACCCAATTCTGGTGTCCCACGCCCTAATATGGCTGTGCTATCGTAAACAATGGTGTAAACAGCATTTCAGCTCACTCGGTCATATAAAGATTAACATATAAGACAACGAAAAGGGAAATGTTAAGCCCCTAATTTCAATATTCCGCCCCCCTTTATATCAGAAACCTCATATATCGGACAGTTCAGTTTGAACCCTATGGTTCAATGGGAGCTCCAGTTTCTGAATAATCTCTCATCCACAATTCTTTATCTTCGCTTAGTGAGGAATATTTGTAAAGTAATTTTACAAGATCGGAATGAAAAAAACTTAATTATGTATCATCGATTCCAGCACATTTACCAAACATGGGGTATTATAATTCATTTAACTCATTATCAATCGCAATGAGACGTCATTGCAGATTGTCAATAGACTCTCCCCGCGCGAGGAATCCTGGTTACAATAGGTCCCGAGCTGCCTATGCTGGCCGTACGACGTGACTAAATGGATCGGTCGGTCAGGCTCCGTACTCCGACGGCATGGATCGCTGCTCACAATATCAATCACTGGATTGTCTGGTCCAGTCTCGATTGTTTGCAGGCCGCCGTCATATAGCTGAGGGGCGGTCGGGTAGCCAGGTGGTTCAAGGGTTCGCTCGTCGAGCCGAAGACCCGGGTTGGAATCCCGACATGGGTACAATGTGTGAAGCCTATTTCTGGTGACCCCCGCCGTGATATTGCTGAAAATTGCTAAAAGCGGCGTAAAACCAAACTCACTCACTCACTCATATAGCTGAACTGCTGAGTGCGGCCTTAAACAACAAACACACAAGACGATGTGCTAAATGTATGTACATGTCTGTGTTATAATTCAGAAGAAATGTCAGCGGCATGAGTTACGTGAACGTGTTTTCCAGACACGCAACCTTCAGATCCGCATGAAGGTGCGTAGTCAACAACGAAGACACTCCTCGCCCCATCTGCCCTATGTTTTTCCATGTAAAACACAATACTCTTAGCGTGTGGATGAGAGCAACATACATACATTATCACAAGCTTTGCTTTTGACGCCACTACGGACAATGACAGCATACAATACTGCTTAGCCATTATGCTGGGACGTGACAACTGTGTGACGAATGTGTGACACTTTTGTGAATGTGAGACAATGCATACCCGATGGTGACGTACATCAACAGACACGTGACTGACACTTAACGATGGCAAAGGCCCTTCTGTGTTTTCACAAAACTCTTTTTCTTCCACTCTTTGCGTCCCCTGTTAGAAATAGTGCTAAATCGGGTTATATAAATATCTCAGTCAATGTATAGAAGTACTGATATCTGCGTAAATGAATGTATGCTTAAAATTATCATTTTATCCAAGTCTAAATACGCGAAACATTATCATTGTCTGTCGGGGTGGGGTGGGGTGGGGGTGGGGTGGGGTGGGGTGGGGGTGGTGGTTAGCACAGTAGTTCAAGTGTTCGCTCGTCACGCCGAAGACCCGGGTTCGATTCCCCACATGTACAATGTTTGAAACCCATTTCTGGTGTTCCCCGCCGTGATATTGCTGGTATATTGCTAAAAGCTTGTCTGTGAATCTGTTTACCGTTACTTACATGCTTAACATTCCCACTTCTTGTGTATGTAAATTGTCTTTCTGAATGACAAAATGAATCTTCAACATGCCCTGTTCTGTCCCAACGTAAACCCGTGTAAACAGATACGTCGCCTGTGTCCGGGATGTAGATGAATAACTGGGGTGTCAGTGTAACCTAAGATGGATATGTCAACCTTGTAATCGACCCTGTCAGTAGACACAAGGAGAGGGGGACTGAAGAGAGGCTTTTGTTGGGCGTTCTCGGACCTTCTTCGCCGATATACCCATTTTGTCTGTAGGGAAATATGTTTTTCGAATCTGCCGATTCCAAAGAATTGAAGTGTGAAAAATATAGAAACTGAAAAGCAGTGTTTATTATATATAAATAAGTAAAATGTTTTGAAAATCCAGCTCATATACTGTGGCTAATCCAGCCTAGACATGTGTTGTCTCTTTCCCTGGTCCTGCCGACCCCACTGTTTCCTACCTAAACTGTTCACCTAACATTTGGAGGAAATAAAAAAGAAGAAGTTGAAATTGTAACATTTATTCATGTCATATCTCGACCTTCACCTTCCTAGATGTTTGGCCACAAATGCGTAAACCCGATCTAGCGCCTCGGTGACATGCCTGCAGGGTGTGAAAGTGTATGTATGTAAAGTGTTTTCGACACACAGAACATTAGTGTTTAGGGGCATAAAATATATTTTGACTGATTACAGATACTGACTGATATATATATGAATGTATTGACTGATGAAAGATACTGACTGAAATATGTATGAATGTATTGACTGATGATAGATACTGAATGACAAATGAATGAATGTATTGATTGATGATAGATACTGACTGAAATATGTATAAATGTATTGACTGATGATAGAGTCCACGGACAATCCCAGGTCCCTGAAGGTATATACTCGTACATCCCCTTAGAAGCGCCATGATGGGACGTTTAAGCAATACAGGAAGATGGGATTATGATGCGGCCGGTGTTATAGCTATTGTTTATTCAATCACAATAGGGCGTGATTTAACCCAAGCCTCAGCTAATGTACACATTCATCACTTAACGGTCATCAATTACCTGTGACAGTCTTTGTACCCAGGGGCTCCTGTCGTCATCCCTCGTGACACTTTCTCATTGCCATTAACGTAATCTCCTCACACTGGTAGTATATCTTCCTCCTTTGGTTCATAACCCTTATTGTGTCAGACAGTGTTGTTTATTCATTCACTTAACACAGAGGGATGATGGGGAAACGTGCCTCACGGCTACGGAGTAATGAATGTCATTTGGGGTTTGAATCCGTCATCGTTCATACAGTTGAAAAATTATGACAAGATCTGCTGTTATTAATCCTGATTGAAAGGTGTACTGTTTTCTTAATGAAATATTTATTCGCACTTTATAGAATTCGTCACTTATGTAATGACGAAAGCATTGTTTCATCTTTGGGGGTCAAATCGGGGACCCGACTTGGCAAGGAGAAACTGACGACAGGAATGGACGTATTAACAGATGCCTTTGATGACTAACATTGCGACGGTGATGCAAACCACAATGGATGTTTGTAAAACAAGAAACTGTCTGAGCAGTGGAACCTCGCTCTAGGTTGACCATGTTGTCGGAGGCATGCATTTCCGTTTCATCTTGTACCTGGGCATCAAGCCATACCTATAAATTAGAAATATGTAATTAGGAAATTATCATTTTCTCTCCATTGCGCATTCTTGATGTCAACACGACCTCTATTTTCCGTATGCAGCACATAGACATAAGTCCACGCGAGCATGATGGTGGCTCTATGTATGAATACATTCATTGTTGGTCGTACAGGTAGTAAATCCCCAAAGGGTCAGTGTATTCACATGCACGACCCCACCAAAGCTCTTGACCAGAGGTCACCGTGAAGGTCAGATTGGGATCAGTGGATGAGATTGGGGGGATTGCCCTAAAGTCGGGCCAAGAAAATTCAGGCCGGGCCGGGCCAGCGGTAAATACTAAAAATGGATTGCAGAATAATAAAACGAAACGTGCACATCTAGGCAGATCGCAAATGACCACAAACGTATAGTTTTGCTCATTTAATTGAAACAAAATGCATCTTCAACAATGTAATAAACTGATAATTATGACTACATACCGTGAGTCCTCGTAGAAAAGTCAGTGTCTTGACTGTGTTTTCTTTGATGAGAAAGTTTCTCACCGACCTTAGCGTGTAGGGGTGTGATGTCCAGGGTAGGAAACGACAGTGTTTGGACTACTCTTCTTTCATTCATTAACGTGTTGGGCATCCCTATTTAACCTTTACTAATTCATGTTAAAC